CTCGGAAACTTTTCGATAGTTCCTGCGGTATATACATGTGTTACTTAAAAACTCTAGATTCTATAAAGATGATCGTTGATCTGAATTTACAAGTCAGCTAACTTAGCATGTTATTTTTTTCTGCATTAAAAATGTAAGCAATGTTAAAGACAACTTAAATGGTTTTAATATTTTTCGTGCTTTTCGTGATGGTTTTAAGCACGAGTTCTCACCAACATTCACGGAATTAAATTGACCGTATATGAAGCCAAATACCAAAAAGCGCTCACCGCAAAATGCCGCAAACTGCTCCCTTTCTGCTAATGGCCATGTTCAGCTGAAATTCATGAACGAGTAGTGATGACTGAATAATCAGTAATCTGTTATCAAGTTGTTTTCCACACCAGTGGATATAAAAGACACGGCGCCAAAACAATTACGAATATCCTGTGTTAAGTAATTTTTCTGCAATTTGTCGGTGCTGAAAGTTATTAATTTTTCAAGAAACCCTAGAAAAAACAATTTCGTTAAACCCAATGCTTTTTATTAGTTCCAAGTTTCGGAGTTATCAAAAGTAACAAGGAAAATATTATAAATGTTTATAAAAAGGATAACTAAAGATCCATCTAAAATGATCTACTGGAAATCCCAACAAGATAAGTTTCCGAACAAGAATCGACTTTTAGAGTCAAATGCTTTACTTTAGGCGTTTGTTTGAAAATTATTTTGGAAGTTTTAAGTGAGACCATTTGTCGGTAGAGGGGCTGCCAGTGTGACCACTCGAACTTGCGCGTGCACTAAAAATTTAAATTCAAATTTTGTGCATAGTTATATAACTTTTTTAATAATAAAACTCACAGATTGCCTGAAAAATGGAAAATACGTAACTTCGGTGTTTTTAAAGGTAAGAAGTTGGGATTTTGTATGGATTTTATTTTGGCCAACCAATATAATTTACAAAATATTCTGCTCCGCCCGAAGTTAGCTTTCCTTTCTTGTTTTTAGTAATGTAGCCATAGAAATCGAAATGTAGTCTATTTGTAATAACTGCAAGGGTATATACATTTCTTTCACTGCTAGCGAACTCGTTTTTCGATCTGAGTACTAGGATTGGATAAGTTAGTATATTTTGCAAATTGCTTTGGAATATTTTAACGGTGCAATGCGGTCACACCATCCTCCACGTGCAGCGCGTAAAAAACAATAATTTGATCATTTGAGCAATTCAATCGCTTTAACAATGGCCGACGATGCCGGCCAGGACAAGCGCAAGCAGCACCGCGCCCGTCAGTCCGGCGTGAAGGCGGACAAGAAGAAGCTGAAGGCCAAGAAGGACACGAACCAAAAGGAACCCGAGTTGACCGCCAGGCAGAGGAATCCCAAAGCATTCGCCATCAACTCGGCGCAGCGGGCAGAGAGGAACTTCCGGCGCAAGGAAGATATCACGGCCAAGAAGCAGCATATCCCGGTTGTAGACCAAACTCCGGACGTACCACCTCCCGTACTAATTGCCGTGGTCGGTCCTCCCAAGGTGGGCAAGACTACGCTGATCAAGGATCTAATCAAGAGCTTCACCCGCACCAATGTCACCGAGATCAAAGGTCCCATCACCATTGTGACCTCCAAGAAGCGCCGAATCACCCTGGTGGAGTGCAACAATGATGTGAACTCTATGATCGATGTGGCCAAGTGTGCCGATCTGGTTTTACTCCTTTGCGACGCGAGCTATGGCTTCGAGATGGAGATCTTTGAGTTCCTGAACATTTGCCAGGTGCACGGCATGCCCAAGATCATGGGTGTGCTAACCCACCTGGACATGATCAAGAACCCCAAGCAACTAAGGAAGCGCAAGAAGGAGCTGAAGCACCGCTTCTGGACGGAGGTGTACGATGGCGCTAAGCTCTTCTACCTTTCCGGCCTGCTCCATGGCGAGTACCTTCGGAATGAAGTCAAGAACCTCGGACGCTTCATATCCGTCATGAAGTTCCGTCCGCTGCAGTGGCGAGGGGCACATAGTTATCTGCTGGTAGATCGCCTGGAGGATGTCACGAACACGGATCGCGTGCGCCGAGATCCGAAGTGCGATCGTGAGGTGGTACTCTATGGGTATGTCCGAGGAGTACCTCTCAAGCAGGAGCACATGGTGCACATTGCTGGACTGGGTGATGCCCGCATTGATGAGCTGAGCGCCATACCCGATCCGTGTCCTCTCCCAGGCACCGAAAAGAAGCGCAGTCTGCTGGAGAAGGAGCGTTTGCTGTACGCCCCCATGTCCGGTGTGGGTGGCATTGTCTACGATAAGGATGCAGTGTACATTGAGCTGCAAGGTTCGCACTCGCACAAGGAGCAGGAGCAGACCGCAGAAGCAGCCGAGCAGGCAGAACTGGTCAGCAAGCTCATTGACAAGAAGGCCACCATCGATGAGCAGATGGAGCAGCAGGAGTTCCGTCTCTTCTCAGATGGCAAGCCTATCAAGTCGAAGGATTTCCGCAATGATCAGGACGACGAGGAAGAGGAGGAAAGTAGCGAAGATGAAGATGAAGAGGGGGCGGATTCTGGTTTGGATGCTGCTGGCAGTGAGGACGAGCAGGACGAGTTCGATGCGGAGGATTGGCGTGGCGAGAACAGCGAGGAGGAGAATCCTGAGGACTCCGATGCAGCCTCCTCGGGCGACGAGGAGTATCAAAGCCTAGGGAATGTGAAAACGGCCAACGAGTCCGATTCGGACGATGAGGAGGCCCGCGTCCTGGCCAGCAATATGAGCTGGAAAACAAACCTGGCCCAGAAGGCGCGTGATGCCTTTCTCCAACGCCATTCGGAGTCCAAGAACCTGATGCGCCTCGTTTACGGTGTTTTCAATCAGAGCGAACTCCGGCAGGAGGCGGACGCAGAAGGCAACGAAGACTCCGAAGAGGAGCTGGGTGGCCTCTTCCGAGTGGCCGCAAAGAAGCAGACCCAACAGCAATCAGACAAGGACATCAGGGATAAGGACGAGCGATGTTTGTTTGAGTATCAGGGTGGTATGTAGCCTCTTGATTCTACTTTTAACACAACAATATATGTTCACGTCTTACTTGTTCCAGATGCCACACGCGATTGGCTGGCGGAGGAAAACAAGGAGCTGATCAAGAACTGCTTCGTTACCGGGAAGTGGAAGGCCAGCGAGGATGCAGAAAATCTGCTTAAGATGGACGACATGAGTGACGCCGAAAGCGAGGTGTACGGGGACTTTGAGGATCTGGAGACGGGCGAGCAACATAGCGGCAAACCCAAGACAGACGATGGTGAAGATTCGGATGACGAAAGTGCAAAACCTGAGGAATCCGCAGCAGCCAAGCGCAAAATGACCCGCGTAGAGGAGGAAAACCTTACCAAAGCAGAGCTTATGTCGAAAAAACTGAAGTTAAAAGCCAAGTTCGATGCGGAGTACGACAACAGTGGCGAGGGAAAGGGCGAGGAGGAAACAGGTCGCATCACCGGGGATCACTCATTCTACGAGGACCTCAAAGCGGAGGCTCAGCGGCAGAGCGAGCTGAACAAAAGCGAGTTCGCCCACCTGGACAATGAGTTCCGTATTCAAATCGAGGGCTATCGACCGGGTCTATATGTCCGCTTGGGATTCAAGCAGCTCCCCGCCGAGTTTGTGGAGAACTTCGATGCCAGCTATCCCGTGCTGGTTGGTGCCCTAAACATGACCGAGGAGAATGTAGGCTATGTCAACTGCAAGGTGAAGAAACACCGCTGGTACAAGAAGATCCTCAAAACTGGAGATCCTTTGATCATATCGATGGGCTGGCGCCGCTTCCAAACGGTGGCCATCTTTGCCAAGGTGGAGGACAACTTCCGACAGCGCTACCTTAAGTACACACCCAACCACGTCACCTGCAGCATGACCTTCTGGGGTCCAATCACCCCTCAAAATACGGGTTTCCTAGCCTTGCAGACTGTGCGTCAGGACCAGGAGGAGATGCGTCGGCTGGGCTTCCGGATAGCTGCCACTGGCTGCGTCACCGAACTCGACAAATCCTCGCAAATCATGAAGAAGCTCAAGCTGGTGGGACATCCGTTCAAGATCTACAAGAAGACAGCCTTTGTGAAGGACATGTTCAACTCATCGCTGGAAGTGGCCAAGTTCGAAGGCGCCAAGATTAAAACGGTCTCTGGAATACGAGGACAGATCAAGAAGGCTCACCACACGCCCGAGGGTTCTTATCGCGCCACATTTGAGGACAAGATCTTGCTGAGCGACATAGTCTTCTGTCGCACCTGGTTCCGAGTGGAGGTGCCCCGGTTCTATGCTCCTGTGACCTCACTCCTTCTGCCGCTGGAGCAGAAGAGCCAGTGGCAGGGCATGAAGACGCTGGGCCAGCTCAAGCGGGAGCGTGCAGTGCAGAATGCCGCCCAGCCGGACAGCATGTACACGGCGATCGTGCGCAAGGAGAAGATCTTCCGACCTCTCGCTATACCCAAGGCACTCCAAAGGGCGCTGCCGTACAAGGACAAACCCAAGCTGGGACCGGAGGATCCCAAGGCGGCGTTGGAACGTGTGGCTGTGGTCAACTCACCGTACGAACAGAAGGTGGCCAAGATGATGAAGATGATAGAGACTAACTACAAGGACAAGCGGCATCGTGAACGGGTGGAGATGAAGAAGCGGATGAAAAACTACCGCGAAAAGAAGCGCGAGAAGATGGCCTCGAAGGAGCGGCGCCAAAAGGAGTTGCGCAAGAAGGTATCGCGGGCCATTAGCAAGATGAGGGGAAAGAAGTCTGCCTGATTGGGATTTTTAAAAGGGTGAGACTACTGAAAAATCGTATGTATGGAAAGTAGATGTTGGACAATTTTGCTGTATAAAATATAGGTAAAACAAAATAAAATGTTTTTAATAAAAAAAGGACAGACCCTTTGCAGATCCGTCTAAAGGATGGTCCTTCTAATTAAATACCCAACACTGTTAAATTTCTATTACAATTTACTCAACGACCGGACTGCCGGCGCTGGAGCAACTGCAGCATTCGCTGGATCCGATAGCGTTTGGCCAGCGACTGATGCAGCTGGTCCAGCAGGCCGGGAAGCACCGGTCTCAGCTTGAAAAATATATATATAACTCAACACCGCTTAGGGACTAACTTGAACTGGACATGGGCGGAACTAACGTGGTATACTCTAGTCCTGGCTCTTGTTGTCATCGATCGTCTTCAAAGCGGCCAAGAGGGCGTGCTTGCGGCTGCCGGTCATGTGGCTACTGGCCGCCGCTCCGCCGGCGATGCTGTTCCGCTTCTTGGGTGCTGGATCGTCGCGCATGTTACTATTGCTCGCCTGGCGGCAGAACGTCTTCAGGAAGCTCTCGCGCTCCTTGTAGTCATCCGAGATCTGCTTTCGCAAGCTGGACATGTTCTCCTTAAGGCGTGGAGCACGAATACTGTTGTCCTGGGACTGGGAAAAGGGTTAAGGATTATCACTTGAATGGAATTATAAAGGTATGTGCCACCTCCTCGTCGCTGCGCTGCGTGTGCTGACCATCCGTTCCCTCGTCCTCCTCCAGCGACTCCTCTAAAATATCACCCTCGCTGCTCTTGGCGTCCAGGTAGGCGGCGTATTTCACCAGACTGGCTTCGTTGGCATTCTCCTCGCTGTTTTCCTCCGGCTCTTCGCTCTCCTCGCACATCTTGTTCATCAGGCCGTAGGCATCCTCCTCGTCATCATCGCCAGCCGGTTCATAGTCCTCCTCGTACTCGTACTCCAGGGACTTCAGCGAATGCTGTTTCGACTTAACCTCGACGGATGCCATTTTGGACAGGGTCTCCGGATCACGACGCTTGCTGGCCTGGACACTGTCCGTCTTGGCAGCTCCACTGCTAATTCTGGATCTACCGGCTTTTCCCGAGGACACTGGTATCTTTCCCTGGGCCGAGAGCATTTGGCTGAGAGTGGAACGACTTGGGTTCTGTCCCATCTTGGATTGGTTGGTGGCCGGCGGCAGGATGAGCTTGCCGCCACGACTTCCCACCTGTCGCTCCACGTGATTAGGCGGAGTATTCGGCCCACTCTTGTCCTCCGCACTGTCCTTCTCAAAGTCATAGAACGAATCCGACTCCAGCACATCTGTCAAGGCGTTGAACTCGCTCTGGTTGTTCTTCTCAATGGCCTTGTCCAGCATCTCCAGCGACTTCTCCAGCTTGTCGATCTTGTCCGGCTCCTCGGAGACGCCGCTCAGCTTGGCGCGTCGCCCCGACGACAAGGGATTCACCTTGTCGGTGCCGAGCTAAAGGATTTACCACGATTTAACTTAAATATTGTTTCATACATCCCCCAGCTATACGCACAGTGTACTCCTCCAGCTTCCGATAGCCACTGATCTCGAGCTTGGCCTTCTCCAGCTTCAGCAACACCTCCTTCCCCTTCTTCTGCTCGTTTAGCAGCTGCTGGCGGAAGTTCTTGGACTCCAGCTGCACCTTGCGGGCCATCAGCTTCATGTCGTTATCCTTGTCCTCCAAACGCTGCTCCAGAGACTTTAGCTTCTCCTGAAGCTTCTGGCGCTCATCGAGGTTCCTTAAAGAAAGATGTGAATTTTGATTAGTTAATAAAATAGATATTGAGGAAATGAATTTCAATCTTTTCTCCATAAGGGATAAATATTTAATATACAATGAAATAGATTTGAGTAATAGTTTTCGTACTATTAAATTATCATGTACTATTAAATTGTCATGTAATTTGTTTAGAAGATTTTCGTGATTTAAATGAGATACTTCAAATTGACAATGATGGAACTAAAAGGAAAATATCATTAATGAATGTTATTCATCCAAATTGTCCTCACTACCCAAAATTTAAGAACTTTAGAAAAATACAATTTTTACATTAAACTTTGATATAACATTGTAGATTAGAGCCTAAACTGTTTATTTTAAAATCAAACTAAAATAAGCAAGTTGTTTTAAAGTTGACCTGAATAAAACGAGCTAAAATCAAAAGTTTTTTTATATCTCCCACTAAGTTAGATCATGTAAAATATATATTGAATTCTAAAGAAGCCAAGATCAATTTAAAGATTTCAGAAATTTCAGTCTAGAGAAATTATTATCTTCTGTACATCTATTGTTTAATCTGATCACATACTTATCCTTGTTGAGCTGGCTGTAGTGCTTGTTCTGATCGCTCAGCGATAGGATGATGGCTTCCTTCTGCTTCAGCTTGAGCTCCAGATCCTTGTTGATGGATTGCAGATTCCGGTACTTGGTCTGCCACACGCGTAGCTCTTCGGCGTGGGAGTGGAGCAACTGCGGCAACTCCGCCGTGTTCGACTCGTACTTATTCAGCGCCGAGTTCTGACGTTTGTGGAGGGTGCGCAGCATGCGGTTCTCATGCGCCAGGTTGGCGATCTCCGCCTGGGCATCGGCCAGTTGATTCTGGAAGGTCTTGGCGCGCAGATTCCTCGCGGACATGACCCGCTGATGGATCTCACTGTGGTTCTGGGAAACCATTGCCGGCTGGCTATTGCTATTCCCGGATCCCTTCATTCCGCCGCGGTGTTGCGAAGGCGGCTTGCTCCTCTGGTAGATCAAACTGGCCGATTCCCGGGAGCTGGCCGAGAATAGGCTCTCACAGCTCTTTGCCGACGCTCTGAAAAGGGAAGAATAAATGGGGGGTTTTAATAGGGGGGAGTCTCTCAGAAAGTTGGTCTCTACCCACGCCATCAGATTGTTCGCTTCCAAGCGGGGTGGTCTTAAGCCGTAGGACGATGCCGGCTTGCGCGGTGATACCATCTAAGATCCTGCCGCTGCTCCGGAGGATTTCACTGAGATGGCCTGTTGAAGCTGCTAATTCAAAGGCCAATTCGGATGTTTAGTGTATGGAAAGATAGAGAAGCCGGTGCGAGGCGATGTCGAAATATATAACTGAAAACCAAGTGCCTGCTGCTGTGGTTACGCCTGATGTTTGATGTTTGTTTATTGTTTGCTCACCGACTGCTGTGTTCTTGGTTGTTGGGGTTAATTCTGGATTCGGGGGTCCCAGGAACTGGTCGCCATGGCGCCACCGATTGCCAGTCTATCGATGGGGGAATCGACAATTTAGGTGGATAAATTAAAATTAGTTAGAAATTTCCAAGTTACCTTTTAAAAATATCTGTTTTTAAGGTAATTGATACTTTTTACGAATCCTTTTTAGGGATTCCAATATCAATAAACTGTTATCCTTTAAAGGATATATTTTTCTTTTTCTTTCTTTTTATATAAGAGTATGTATGTTTTATGTTGTGTGTTGTTTTTCAGATATTACATTATACCAAGATAAAAAACCAATAAACTAAAAAAAAATATTGTTTTTAAAGCTCGACTTTTTTTAATTATATTAGTCATCATTAACCTTGGATAATAACGATTCAGTAGTTATAGGCACTCAAATTTGTTCGAAATTTGCCGAATGTTTAAAAAAGATGGAAGGATGAAGCTTCTTTGCGGTTTATTCGGTTAATTAAGCAATATAAGCACTAAATTAAAAACCCACATCAGGGGTTAATCAACGCTCCTCATTGAGTTTGGCCTTTATCTCCTGGTATTTGATGCGGTAGAGTCCCTCAGGATCATAGATCTTCTCCAGGCGCTCCCAGTCAGTGGGTCGGTTGTCAATGAGATGACGGGTCACCTTTTCAGCTCCATACCTCTGCTTCTCCGTGCATTTGGTGCAATCGGTTTGGATTGCGTCGGGTAGGATTTCTACAAGGGTTAGTGGGTATTACGAAGTTTTAGCGGCCTGCGACTTTTACTTACCCTTCAGCATCTTTGCATCGGGAGTGCAAGGACCCGTACCCTCCAGGCACTTGATGTAGTTGATCAGCAGTCGCTCTTGGTTGAGGATCTCGTCCAGATCCACATTATCGAACTTGTCGTCGTAGGCCCTTTCCACCATGGGTGCCGATGAGGTGGCCGGCGGATGGGGCAGTCCTTCCACTTGGTAACAGGCGGTGCAGATCAGTGCAACCACCAGCGAGGTGTTCCACAGGGCCAGGCGAAAACTGGAACGTCCCATTTTCGTGTCGATCGTATGCAGTGCTATCCGTATCGACCACCAGGGTTTATATAGAGGCTACCTATCTGGATTACCCTGCGTGTCTCCGTCCAATTTGCCCACTTACCAATTGAACCCAAATTAAATGAATTCAATTTGATTACCTTGAGCCCATCGGGGAACAGCGGTAGCGGATTATTTTCTAACTTAATTTTATTTTATGCGTTCTAGCATTTCTAACTAACAACCTCGTCAATATGACCCAAAATTTGTTCACATACTAGAGTATGGACAAAGTCATAGTTCCCTTTGTTTTTATGAGCCATTTGATCACATCTTAAAAAGTTTTTATTTTTAAGATCTACTACTACAACTGTTTTAAGCTCGATCTTTAAGACCCACGAGTAACCTGAGCTATTCTATTACATATCTGATCAATAACATCATCATTTCAGAGCCATTTGAATTAAAAGTAATTATAATAATTTACTCGAAATTTTAAGTTTTTGTGATGATGATGGCAATGTTAACTTTAATTGCAAAATATATATATAAATGGGTAGCTGGCTCCTAGCGTTATTCTGCCGCAGAAGTCTCTGATAAATATTACGTTGGCATTTCTTGATTTAAGCTCTAATTTAAAAAAATACGCTAGCCTTGAATTTAAAATTATGAACGCGCAAAAGATCAGTTTTGTCGATTACTGTATTTATAAGATCATCACAAGAAATCGATTGGCGATAACTGCATCCCAAGACCACAAGCTAGAGTTTTTTTCTGAGGTCGATCTGGTCACACTGCCCAACGAGTTCGCTCCGGCGCTTTCTTTTTCAATGGTCTAAATTTTCTTTAATTGCTCTATTTACGCAAGTGAAACGAATCGATGCAATCGCCCGAATCCGGAAACATTGCATCCTAGGCAACTCGACCGCAACAGAATTGCGACCCGTGGATTGCATCACAGTGCGGGAAATGCAAAATAGGCGACCATCTGTGCGGCGATCGGTGGAAAACTCTCGATTTTACAGTGGGCGCCCAGCCAAGGACGACCTAGAAACGCCCCAGAAAGTAGCACAGGTGACATCACCATAGAACACCATGATACACGTCGGCGAGAACTCATGGAATCTGCGGATCTTCATCACGGATCTGGCCCTGGAGAAGACTATGCGCGTGCGCGGTGATCAGCATATTGGGGGCATCATGCTGCAGTTGGTGGATCCGGAGAATCCCAAGGACTGGTCCGATCACGCCCTGTGGTGGCCGGCCAGGAATGTGTGGCTCAGCAGAACCAGATTGACCCTGGACCAGTGCGGTGTCCAGGCGGACAGCCTGCTGCACTTCACGCCGATGCACAAAATACTGCGGTTGCAGCTGCCGGATCTGAGGTATCTGGATTGTCGGGTGGATTACTCCGTAAAGACCTTCTCTGCGGTGGTCAATCTCTGCAAGCAGCTGGACATCCGTTACCCGGAAGAGCTTTCCCTGTGCAAACCGCTCGAGGCGGAGCACCTGAAGCGCAACTTCGCCCAGGTGCCGCACCAGAAGCGAGTGGCCATCGCCGAAGCGGATGGTACCTCCTACCTGCAGCCTGCTGCAGACACCAACTCGTTTGTGCCCATCAGCACTTCGTTTCACGGAGATGGCGGCAGCACTGGCAGCCTAGACAAGCCCTCCGCCCCGGGATCCTTCTTCTGTGCTCCTCTGTCGCCCCACAATCACAGAGCACGCTCGCCCATGGCCCCGAACTCACCATCCCCGGGCACCTGGAAGCAGAGCCAGCTGGGCTATGCCACCTATGATTCATCCTCTTCAAGCCTTGGCGACTTCCAGGAGAACCTGGCCAGCTCGCCGCCCACTCCCTGCTCGGAAGTCCGTGCCCTTCAGCTGCGCCCCAAGTCGCTGGTGGAGAAGGCCCGTCTAAATGTGGGTTGGCTGGACTCATCACTGTCCATCATGGAGCAGGGCATCCGGGAGTATGACACGCTGTGTCTGAAATTCAAGTACTTTACCTTCTTTGACCTGAATCCCAGATGCGACCAGGTGCGCATCAATCAGCTGTACGAGCAGGCCAAGTGGAGTGTTCTCAACGAGGAACTGGACTGCACCGAGGAGGAGAGCCTGATGTTCGCCGCCCTACAGTTCCAGGTGAATCATCACGTGGACGCCACGCCCCAAGCTGTGGACTCGGGCATTGAGACTTCCAGTCAGGAGAACGATAACGACGATGAAATCGATTCGGCCCTCAACGAGCTGCAGATCACACTGGAGGGTCCGAATGGTGGCGGAGATTCAAGAAACATCACACGCATCCCCGAGCTATCCGACTATCTGCGGTATCTAAAGCCACAGAGATTCACGCTGCGCGGCTACAAGCGGTACTATTTCACCTACCGCGATCTGCATTTGCATTTGTTCAAGAGCGCCGAAGAGTCGCGCCGCGCAGCTCCTTCCATTAGCATCAATCTGAAGGGCTGCGAGGTCACCCCGGATGTAAACCTCTCGCAAGGCAAGTACGCCATCCGACTGGAGGTGTCTCCGAATAGTGGACACGGACCCAACAGCGAGGTTTGGGTGCGCTGCGAAAACGAGCAGCAGTACGCCAAGTGGATGGCCGCCTGCCGATTGGCGGCCAAGGGAAGATCCCTGGCGGACAGCTCGTACGAGAGTGAGGTGGATGGCATACTTTCGCTGCTGCAGATGCAGCGACCTGTGCATGGAGTGCACGTGAACATCGATCCGCGATCCGTAGAAGCAGTAGATTACCTGTCGCCCAAGATCCTTCGTAGACTATCCAACAAGGCAGTGCAGCGAATACTGGAGGCCCACGCCAATGTGCGAGAACTTAATCCCCTTGACTCCAAACTGAAATACATCCAGGCCTGGCGATCTCTGCCCGACTTCGGAGTCACGCTGTTCATCATCAAGTTCGATGGTCATCGGAAGGAGGAGCTGCTGGGCGTGGCACACAACCGCATTATGCGCATGGATCTGAGTTCAGGGGATCACATCAAGACCTGGCGTTACAATACCATGAAGGCGTGGAATGTAAACTGGAACATTAAGTGCATGATGGTCCAGTTTGAGGACGAGAACGTGGTCTTCTCCTGCCATTCTGCCGACTGCAAGGTAGTGCACGAGTTTATCGGCGGCTACATCTTCATGTCGATGCGGTCCAAGGACAACAATCAGACGCTCAACGAGGAGCTCTTTCACAAGCTCACAGGAGGCTGGTCCTAGGATTCAATATTAGTCGAATTTAATGGCAGCCAGTTTTAATTGTTTGAATTTTGTAAAGCAAAACAAATGTTTTTATTGTTAACCAACTGATAGACTCACAACTTCAATGCAAAACGTGTTTTTACGTTCATTCTACCGTTTAATTCGTTGTTAACTAATCTTGTTGATGATTTTTAACCACGAAAATCGCTTGCCAATGGCCTTTTTGCCTACCCAACTCTTTAACAGACTTACCTGTGGCCTTAGCAATGTTTTACTATGACTAACTTTTAAGTATATAATAAATAAATAAAATCCTACCATATTTTAGTTAGTTGTTTAATGAGTCTTTGAACGGGATAAATGGATTATGGGAACAACCCCAAATTAAAATTTACATTCAATGTTGTAAAAGTGGTAATATGTTTTAAATTGTCAAAAAACAATGAAATCTTTTAGAGTTAAAAGCACATCAACAAGAGTAAGTCACAAAGTTTTTATGCATTACAAAAATAATGTGTAAGCGATCAAAATAGGTATGGCCATAAAACTAGGAACATAGACTTTTGTTCTTTTAAGTTACAAGTTCAAATTTCGCGCCGATCAGCACTTTCTTATCGTAAAGTTTTTAAATATCGATATGAACCCTCGATACTTTGACGATCGCTCAGTGCACATCTCTGATTTGGCGCCAGCTTTGTTGAATTGTCATGGAAACGAAAGTAACATTTTAACATTGATTTACCATCAAACTACAGCTTCCAAATCAAATTAAGTGTATTCCACTTGAATTTCATATGATTATCGTTGGCTTATCCTGAATTTGGTCACCCTAGGACATGGAAAAGGCAGAGGAAACACCAATTTCCCGCACGGCCTACGAAGTGCAAAGAGATTTCGGCTTCAGCAGCGGGCTGCGTTCGGAAATTATTTGGGATTCGTATGTTATGCAATTGACTAGGCCATATAGTTTAACTTATGTTTAACCAACCAACTCCAGATTAGCCCCTGATCAGGGGGATGTGCTCAAGCAAAAGATAGAGAACATCATTCGCGGCGATGATGCCGGGAATATCAAAGCGGTGCAAAGAAAGCGGGATCAACTTTTCCGAAATATTTGGCAGCAGCGGCGCTACACCAATGGCACATTACTGTCCGCCATAATCTACGTGCTGGTCACTCAGGAAGCGGATCCGGAATTGGCGTTGCAGTCCACCAAATACAGCTGCCATCCTGTTTTTCGGACACGTCGCTGTATGAAGGGTGAGAATAGCGCCGCTTGTTGCATGATCTTTTTGGACGAAAATGCCCGTGTGTATTCCAATTGGGAGCAATACGTTTTCCGGAATACCTTGCCCAAGGGCCTTATGATTGCCCCTAGCCAGGGCATCTACACCTTCCACTCCGATGGCGATGAGCCCGGCGTCCAGTTGATGGTTCATCCAACGCCAGCAGCGCGTGGCCGGTACCGATTACTCAATGCCGGTGACAAAGTGGCCACTGTGGGTGGCCTGGTGGCCAGTGTTCCGGTTGCAGCTGCTCTGGCAGTGCCCCTAGCCGCTCCCCTGGTTATTGCCGCCACAGCTGTGGGCGTGGCTACCGGTGTCTACAGTACCCTACGCTCGGCCTCCCATCTCATCGATAGGCGAAGGCATGGTCAGTCCACCTCCATTACGGATGGTGAAGCACGCAGCTCCTGGTTGGGAGTGGCGGGTGGCGTGGTTGGTCTGGGCGCTACCGGAGCCACAAAAGCTCTGGCCACAGCTGCAGGTGCTGGCTACAGAGTAAATCCTGCTGCCCAGTTGGCCGTGAAGGGCATAAATGGAGCATCAGTGGTCATTTCCGGGACAGGTGTGGTTAATGGGGTTTACGATTTGTATTTGGTAAGTTGGCTCGATTATTGGTAGTCCAATTACATTTATTTCCTTTTTCTTTTTTTTTTTAGAAAATTGGCGATGATCAGGCCTTAAACAGCTTGGACATGCTGCAGATGGCCTCGCACCTGGTGATTTTTACACACTCCATCAACAATATGCGCATAGCTTCCAAGGCCACCAATGGCTCTTGCTTAAGACGAGCACTTCGCAATCAATCCAGGTTTCGCAAACCATTACCTTTGACTTTAACCTTTATTTAATTGAATCCTACCTGTCTTAATAGAAAAGTCTTCGATCGCATCTCCCAGGAGTCCGTTAAGCTGCACAGTGAATCCGGCCAATTTGATATTGTGCGCACCCTCAACGAAATTCCCTTTAAGGAGGCACTCCTCAGCCTGCACACTATAAACTCACACCTGAGTCAAGGACTCGCAGTGGCCACCACTTTGCTGCCCCAAATTGTGAGTCTGGGCAGTGGCGGTCAAATGCTCGTCAATCTGGAGATACTCGCCGAAAAGTTCGGAGGAAAGTTTGTGCAGCACATCGGAAATCTTGCCAGTTTTACCGACGTTTTGGAGGCCATGGCCAGATATTTTACCGATCAGGCAGTGCAGTTGCTTATGCAAATGACCCGCAGTTTTGTGGATCAAAACGTGGATTCCATTGATCGCACATTGAATACGTTTGTGTCCACAGAGACGGTTCTCTATCGCATTCTGATGCACTGCGTAACAACTTTCGACAATTTTGGAGAGGACTTCCTATTGAGCCGCCGCGAGAATATATTGTTGGTGGTGTCCAAGTACTTTCGGTCGCTGGAGCCGATTGGAGAGAACTGCCGCAAGTACAAATGCTCCGTTTGCAAAGGCGTTTACTATATAAGTTCAATATGAGCCGATTCTCTGAATTAAGCTGTCGTTCAATTTATATGCCATGTTTTTCCGTTTCCGCTAGTCAGTTCTGTTTTCTAGACAATGGAGAGGCTTTGAAAGTCACACTAGTTTCGTATTTTCAGTTTTAGTATTGATTTTTATGTTCCTGATCCCTCGAAATTCTTTGTTATTTAGGTTAAAAAGAAACTACATTGTGATTCCTAGTTTTTTATAGAAAAAAGCTTTGTCAGCCAATGGAAACCATTGATTTAAACTAGTAACGATCTCTCGAGACCTTTTTAAGACTATTTATGAAATCCATGTCAGAATGTTTTTTTAGTTTCGTATTTTTAGTTTTAGTATTGATTTATATGTTCCTGATCCCTCGAAATTCTATGTTATTTAGCTTAAAAAGAAACTACATTGTGATTCCTAGTTTTTTATAGAAAAAAGCTTTGTCAGCCAATGGAAACCATTGATTTAAACTAGTAACGATCTCTCGATACCTTTTTAAGACTATTTATGAAATCCATCTCAGAATGTTTTTTTTAATTTAAGGGTCCAATGACAATGTGTCGTCTAAGGTGAATGTGCTGTGAGATCCTCTGGATAATTTGAATAACAATTATATTTATTTTTACGACTTATAAAAACTATATAAATTTCAATTAAGAGAATCAGTTTCCGTATTCGATTGTTTATTAGCTTACTATCTAGGTGTATAAATACTGTATATGAATTCGTGTCCCTTGCAGAGGGCACAATTAAGGTACTCTATAAGAGTGAGCGCGACTTGCAGAATGTACATCTAAGAACTAACTTTAACTATGGACGGAGTCAGATAACGCTGACCAGATGGCACCGACGTGGAGCATCAAACTGGAGCTCGTTTAGCAGAAGAATTCCTCGTCGCACTGGGTATAGCAGCAGTAGGGGATATTATTATAGCTCACGCCCGAGTGATCCCTTTTGAAACGCTGTTTCTTCTCGTGGTGCAGCTTATTGGGCTTGTAGCGCGGAAAGATGTCAAGTTCGCTGAGGAGGTTAAAGTGCTCCCGAGTCACCTTCAGATAGCCACCCTCCGGATAACTGCTTCGTCTTATATGATGGTGCTTGTTGTGTGTTTTGCCGTCTGAAAAGGTCGGAAAAAGGGGGAAACGTTGCGAGTGAGTAAATCGATCTTGAACCTGCGCCTTGAAGTCGGTTAACTGTTGCATCGGAACTGCTTTATGCAAATGCGCTTATTAATTCCAATCTACACACTTTAAAAACGTGTTTTCTGTATGCAGTTCCGAATGCAATTGTCGGGTTGACTGACACTCTGACCTTATTTAGTTGCTAATTATATTTTGTGTTCTTTTCCTTAAAAATCTATTGACTATATTGTTAATTTTTGAAATTTTGAGTAGCAGATATTGTTGACAAATGAATTTAATTATTTGTCGATAATGGACAAGTGTTTTTTTAAATTTTAAATTATAAAGATCTAGCAGATACTTACATCCCAGACGGTTGAGATGGTGATGGTGGTACTCGATGGACCTCCTCTCTCGGCGGGCTCCTTCGTCCTGCTGGAACAGGTGCTCGCATGCCTCCATCGCGAACAACTTCATTTTCTCCAGGGAGCAGAAGCTGCCCGATGAGGTGCCCAGCAGGCAGCAGACTCCGATGACCAGCAGCGTCCAGCGGCACAGATTGAACTGCAAGGGAGGAGAAAATAAATTAAAATTAAGCAATCGTGAGAATGAGTTTCCAAATTAAACACCCAACCGGCCTCCGGCGCCTAATTATAAATCGCTGACGCTCAGAATTTATCGCATAAGTGTTACAACGATCCTCTAACCGGCTGCACTCTGCTCTGCCTTGGCACCTGAACCTAAACTTCGGATTGGTTCTCTGGACTTTTGGGACGAATCTGGATAATCCACTTTGGCTGACGACAGCTGGGATGTCCGGGTGACGTCGCCAACTCCCACGCACCGGCTTAAGCGGCCATTAATTGGGTCAATATCGAGTCAAGATCGAAACATAAACTGGAGCGCATTTACAAGTCGACGCGGCCAAATGGTAAAATTTAATTGCCGCTTTTAATGACCGAAACTTCCCCGACATTACAGAGCTGGAGTGGAAATTATGTAATGCGCCTCGCAGGTAGGCATTTCCGTATTTTGCGGTGACAATCTGTTTAGCACTCGATCCAATATAAATCCGAGTCGGAATCGGTATCGGTTCGGGCATTATGCTTGAGCCAGTGGAGAACAAAAGCGCATTTGTTTATATTGATATTTTTAGCTGACAGCCTGTTAATTGTACACACCCACTTTTTTTATTAGCTAATTTAAGTAATTACAGTGGTGTTTTCTTAGAGGACCTTAATAAAGTCTGGAAATTTTGGAACTAAATAATTTTTTGAATATCGAAAAAGGACAAATTCTTTTTTTTGACCATTTTTAAAATATCAGTTAATGAAAATAAAATAATTAAAAATTAAAAGAAATTAAATAATTAAAAAAAAATAATTATTCAAAAATTCTGAAATATGCCTTCTGAGTAACTGTTATAAGAACCTATAATTTTTATAATGTGTATACTATTTAACAAATTTTTCAAAATACTCTAAAAACCCTTTGAAAAACTTTTAAAACATTCTAAATAATAATAACTTCCAAAACTGACTGAAAATTACCCACTTTTCTCATTGATTCTACTTATTATTTAATATTAACAATATTTAACTTACCTTTGAACTCATTTTAATTCCGTTCTAGGATCACAATTCTTGTTAGATCACAATGGCGACTTGCCAACTTGTCAGGCTGCAACAGTACGTATACGTGTTTTTTTGTTTGGCGGGCAATTCCGTCCGATCGACGTTACCTGATAATCACGAGTGGCGAGCGCACAATGAAAGCTCACACTCAACCGCTTAGCTTTTATACGCGCTTCAAAAATTGAGGATCGGCGCTTCGGATCGGCTCAGGTTGACTCGGCTTTCCCAGGCTCTCGACTGCCCTGCCGCTCTTTAATTTGAATGGGGGTGAGAGAGCGGCTCGGGATTTTCGATTTTTGGGATCGGATCGGATCGGGATCCGTCCGTTCGCAGGAGTTTTGCGTAAGCGCCGGCAAGGCACGTCAGGCCTTCAGAAATATATAAGTTAAATGTTTTTTTTTATCAATGGAGTACGGAACGGACGTCAGACTTTAAGAGTTGGCTTCGGCTTTGGCTTTTATAGTTCCATGGCGCCGCCTCCAAAACTTAACCAATTTCAACATAATTGTTTTTTCGGACTCTGTGACTCATTGCCCAGCCACAGCCACATGTTGTGCTGCTCTTGATGGCAAATACACATGGCAAATACACAAAGTCTACAGTCTTATCAAAACACCTTGGCAATGTAATAAGGTAGTAATAGATTGTTGCGAGGGTCGAGCGTGACAGTGAAAGTTTCACATAGACCTTGTTGCCGGGGGGTTCCAACCAGGGCAACGCACTTCTTGATAAGTATGCTAGGTTCGCCCACATCTAATAACCATTTATTTATGGGCATCCATAAATATGTTTAGTAGATCCATAAAACAATTAACATTTTTTATGGAAAGTCTAAAGATTGACATTTGCCAGCAGAATATTTTTTTTCCTAAAGATCCATTGTTATGGATTTAAATTAGTCAAATCAAGATAATTGGGTTTTCGTTAGAATAAATGCCATTATTAATTTGTATAAAAAATCAAAACATGCTGATGCACTCAAAATTAAATTATTTAAGGCAAGAACCAAATATATATTTCTTTAATAATTAACACAATTGGTTTTCTGAAGTTGTGTTTAGTTAGTAATATTAATAGTAATACATTTATTAATTTACTACCGTTTACAACAATAGTTAAAGAAAAAGGTAAAAGCCGATTTCAAATTAACAAATCTTCAGTAATTTAAACTGAAACCGAACAGTTTTCTAGTCATTTAAGATTATTCTAGCAAATGGTAAAAAGTTTATCAAATACTAGTTTTTTTTAACGAATCAATGAAGAAAGGTTTGGCTTATTAACAAATTGCTATTGGAAATCAGACGTAGTAGTCCAATAGAAAAAAGTGGAGCAGGAAGTAGTTAACATGTTTGCATTCTAGCTGCAAATACGGGTCGGATGTAAATAATCCGACAATCAAAAGTTGTTCAAGAAACAGGATTTTGACACTCATTTCCAAATAAATGTATTAATATACTTTCTAACCTCTTTAAGAGGATGAGTTATATGACCTATTGTGTGAAAACATAAAATTATTAAATTTCAGGTTCCAGGCCAATTGAAACGAATAAATTTGAAAGCTTAATGATTAAATTGCTGAATAAATATAATTTAAATTTACTTATAGCGGTATTATTTGAGTAGACTTTGGTTGCTAAAATAACAGGTTCTATTCCCAAGCACAATTTAAAAAAAAAATGTTAATCGTTTTAAAAATAACTTTTGCTTCAGTTCATAATTAAAAGTAATGAAATATAAAATAAAATGTTATTTTAATTGTTTCTAGGTGCAATGTTAAAAACCTCCAGTTACTGTTTTTCTTATATGCAAGGTTCTGGAAGAAAGCGAAAGTGGTGGAACTTCCACTCTCGTTTTTTTCGGCTGTCTTCGTGCACAGCCCTCTCACTTGGGACCACTTTCCCTTTTCCTCGCCCAGTTGCAGCATCATTGAGGAGCACTTAACGGTTGTTCTGGATCGGGCGTCATCATCGTTTGTTCTAATTTTATCAGATCACTTGTGTTACGTTCTTTTAGGTATTTTTAGCCGCTCTCTCGGTCAATGCACACTTTCGGCCGACTTTTTTATGGGTTCAGATCGTTACGTTTCGGTTTCGTTTTCAGATTCGTTTCGGTATCGGTTTTGTTTCGTTTTATTTGTTCGCTTTCGTTGCATTCCCGCATGCGGAAATGTTTACCAGCCCCCGTGGCGTATGCGCAATGCTGCGATGCGCAATTGCATTTCCACGCCATTTCGCACGTATCCTTGGGAATGTGCATTCCCGTGCTCGCACATCCGATCCCCAGAATAACGGTAACGGGCACGTTCTGGGAACCCCGACTTGGGTTCGGAATGCGAGTGTGGGTAGAACTCTTCTTTTTCTTTTTTTCTGTTGGTATGCGGGATTTAATTGGTTCGCCACGGGCTCATTCATAAATACAATTTCACAACCTGATTTTAAGAATCGCGCCACTTGCGCCATGTCAACGATCTCCGCCGATGCCCCTACCTGGGCATCAAATTCACAACTCATTATTAACAAAAAAAATCAAAGCCAAAAAAGAGCCGAAATACAACAAAAACCCAACGGAGCTTAAACCGCAAACAGGTTCTGCTTCTAATAGAATCGCCGGCCATCGACGATCTGATATTCGTGCAGTCTAGACGACAGAATGGGCATTTGGGTCCTTTCCTTGGCAACAAGAAAAGAACAGGGAATGTCGCTACGTCTTCCGAGAAGTTCCGATCTGCTGTGGAGTTGGTCCGGATGGGGGGGGATGAGGCGGAGGAGAGGACGATGGTCGATGGACGGATGGACAACGGACATTAGAGGACCGCTGGCAGAGCGTGTGAGCTAGTGTTTTTGTTTTGATGCCCAGATCTCCTGTTCCTTGAACCGAGGGCGAAAGTGGTGCGTCACGTCATCTCCGGTGTCTGACTTTGCCGGCAGCTTTGTCGTTCACCTTTGCCATCCTCATCCAAGACCTTCTCCTCCTGCTCTACCTCGTCCTTGCCCCCCCCTCACCCAACTCCTTTGGCATGCCGAAGGGTTTTTCATTTCATTCGCCGTGAGTTCAAAAAACTCTGCGATTACCTCGCTGCGATCGCATTTCAAATTAGAAACTCTTTTTTGGGGGTTTCATGGTTTCATAGCACATGGACAACAATGCTTCTTCATTTTGTTAGGGGATTAAAAAATAGTTCATAAGATTTTATTAGTCGTCGACACATCATGCATAGCCTTGGATTTTGGAAAAAAATTGTTATACCTTAAAAACTGATTATTGCAAATTTTTAAAATCCATTATCCTTAATTTCAATTAAAATTAATGAGCTATGAGATGTGATCTCCTTCTGAATGATTCACTATGTTATTCAATTGATTTAAAAAAGCTCTTTATTAGTTATTAAGAAGCATCTTAGAAATTGTATAAAAGTCCTTAAATTGTATAAACGAAAAAGGTTGAAAGATTATAATACATAAGGAAATACTCTGTGATCTCCAATTTGAAAAGACATTAGCGCTCTCTTATTTTGGGCCACTAACGAAATTTTGGCTAACGTCACAGATCTACGTGGAGTGACGATAGTGACTCATGGTTATACCATGATTATTTCGTCATGACTGTTAATGAATAAATAATAGCTTAGCAAGAAAACATAAATCATGATCGACTTTAAAAGTGGTACAAGAAAGAGAAGCCGCAGCACATGAGTAAGATGCCAGGTAAAATCTCCAGCAATGAAGATTTTATCATGAATACAACTCTTCCGATGTGTCAATAAGTCAATTAAACATTTTAATGCTAAGAATCTCGAAGCATGGATTTCTTCAGGATTTTTAACCTATTTTGTTCATGTACTAAGAACCGCCAAAATTCAATATTTAAAATGTTGTCTATCTAAAACAATCGATAACTGATAAGGAATTAAAAATCGAATAGGGCATCGGAGTGTGTACAGCTCTAATCAGCTGTTTTGTGCCGCATAATCCTCCACAGAAATGTTGGCCGCCCGCAGATTACTACGAAAACTGCGTATTTCCGGGACTCTAAGCTGGTCCCGATGGAGCAGTGATGCCGCTAAGGCCAGCACGGAAGCTTCTGCCTTGGAGGGCAACGCGGAGAAGCGCCAGCAGCTGCTCAACGAGCTGGCGGAGCCGCTGGAGCAGAGAAGTCGTCCCTCCATTGATCCAAAGGAGACGGCTGTGATGCTTTTTCCCGGCCAGGGCACCCAGTACGTGGGCATGGGAAAGGACCTGCTCCGCTTCCCGGGCGCTCGCCGCATCTTCGAGCTAGCCAACGAGGTGCTGAAGTACGACCTCCTCAAGATTTGCCTGGAGGGACCACGTGAAAAATTGAATCGCACGGAGCACGCTCAGCTGGCCGTGATGGTCTCTTCGCTGGCGGCCCTGGAGCAATTGCGCGAGGAGCGGCCCAAGGCCATCGAAACGTGTGTGGCTGCCGCCGGCTTTAGTCTGGGCGAGATCACCGCCTTGGTGTACGCGGACGCCCTGCCCTTTGACAAGGCCTTGCGACTAGTCCAAGTGCGCGCCACTGCGATGCAGGCGGCATGCGATCAGGCAGCCGGAGCCATGGCTATGACGCTCTACGGACCAGATACCAATCTGGGCGAGGAATGTGCCCGTGCGCAGCAGTGGTGTTTGGACAAGGGAGTGGAGTCGCCCTACTGCGGCATCGCGAACTACATGTATCCGCATTGCAAGGTGGTGGCCGGCAATGTGGAGGCCCTCGAGTTCCTGGAGAAAAACGCCAAGACCCTCAAGATCCGGCGGATGAAGAGATTAGCTGTGAGCGGCGCCTTCCACACCCCACTGATGCAGAGTGCCGTGGAGCCCTTTACCAAAGCCCTAAAAACAGTGCGCCTGCAGGATCCCGTCATCAGAGTGTACTCCAATGTGGACGGAAAGCCCTATCGCCATGCTAAGCACATCCTTAACCAGCTCCCAAAGCAAATCGTTCGACCTGTCAAGTGGGAACAGACACTCCACGAAATGTACGAGCGCAGGCAGGGCGTCGACTTTCCACGCACTTTCGAGTGCGGTCCTGGAAAAGGACTTGTTCAGGTTCTGGAAAAAGTAAACGCCAAGGCAGCGCAATCCAGTTTAAATGTTACAGCGTAACCTTGTATAAATAACCAGTTTGCTTTTATAAAAATGTATATTTTCTTGGCTAAAGGAAACAAAAAACGTTGAAGTAATCGGCCTGGGGCAGATCCTAACTTTTGTCGTCTCGCGATCGCATGCGATGTGCAAAGGCAGCGCCCTTGTTTTTGCGGAAGCTTTCGAAGGGATCGTGCATATTGGCACCCACGCCCTGCGGATTAGAGTGATTAGGCATTGGCTTTCTGGGGAATAGTCTTCTTTCATTACCTTGTACATTTCGCGACGATCGCGCACCTCGCCACCCGAAATGGGCGTGTCTATGCCCTGATTCTTTGAGCCCAGTCCAGTGCCAGTGCCCGCCCAGCCCATTTTCATTAGCATTTGGTGCCCCTTGTTTGATTCCTCGATGAATTCTTGGGGTTTGGCAAAGGTACTTCCCCTGGAAATGGGAAAATAGTTAATTATTATGACTGCCTTTAACTAGTATTTTACTATGGATCTAATATGAATATAAAGTTTATACTAAAAAGATAAAATAGTTCAAATTATTCTTATACTTACAAAAAGCTCGGAGGGGTTGGAGATCTGTCACGATCAACACGTCTTAGGTTTGTGTTGCTGCCATTGTTACTGTTGTTGGAATTGGAATTACTACGCTCCGCTCGATTCTCCCGGTTGTTATTCATGCTGCTGCTGTTGTTCTCTCTCTCGTGTCGAGGCGATCGATTGCGCCCCTTGCGATTGCTTCCACCGCCACCCCCACCGCCCATCCTGTTGCGGTTCATTGGTGGCGGTGTTGAGGAGCGCTCCACGGATCGGGATCGGGACCTGGAGCGAGAGGGCGATCTGTCGCGATGAGGCGGCGTATTTGAGCGGGAGCGACTGCGACTCTTGGATCTAAATAGAAAAATAGAAATAACCATTAGTGATATCAAAAATTACTATATCTTAAGACACATTTCTTAGTCAAATTATACTACAAAATTATTATATGGGCAACATCATTTCCCAAATTACTTGATGGAAAACTTACTGGATTTGAAACTTACCGATAAACTCGCTTGTTGCTCTTTTTGGGTAGGACTTTTTCGAGCACAATTGGACTGGGCGAACGCGACTTTTCTCGAATGCCATCCTTGATTTCCTCCTCCTTTTGCTTTCGCGCCGCATTTTTTACCTTGTAGTACTCATAGAGACCAAGCTTTTCCCAGCCCTCACTGCAAAGTAATTACTTTATTAGTATCGCCCAAGTATCCTTGACTGAGTTACTTACTTATCCCTGGGTCTATCATGCGAGGGTGCGGAATAGAAGGCATTCAATGCATTTGTTAGCCGCTCACTTTGCGGCGCTGGAGCTGGCAGTCGAATATCCGCCGGATCTAGAGCCTTATAGTTGTAGTCCTCCAGGCGAATCAGAGGCACCATTAGGCCCGCTGGCAAGTCGTAGTAAGGCGCTGTAGGTATTTGCGGCTCTCCGATGACCACGGGTTCTCCAGATTCTCCGTCGCCTAACTGAGGCGGCTGCTGGCCATCCTCCAATGGACCTTCCTCGGGTTTTTTTGTTATAACCGCTCGAATGGCTGCATTGAGCACATCCAGGTCCACTTCCGGATCAGCATTTGGTTGTCCAGGTCTGACCAGATTCTGGGGATAGGCAGCCATTGGCTGTTGCTGTTGTTGTTGCGGCTGCTGCTGCTGGATTTGGTTTTGTCCTTGCTGTTGTGGATCATCGGGATGGTGTTGCTGCTGATGCTGCATCTGTAGGCACGCCTGAATTGCTGCACTGAGCACGCCCAGATCAACAGGTGGTTCATTGCCGGACCCCTGACCCTGCATTGGCGGAAACGGCCCCGGTTGTTGTTGCTGCTGCTGCTGCTGATGACCCATTGGCCCCTGATTATGATGATGCATGGGTCCGGCAAAGCCTGGCGGTGGTTTTGACATGTCCGGAATGAAAAAGTTCGGTCCCCGCGGATCCGCAAAGGGGTTTCCTGATGACTGCTGCTGTTGTTGCTGCTGCTGCTGGTGGAAGTTACCACCCGGATACATATTATTCCCTGCCTGCTGATCATGCGGCCCCTGATTATTCATGTGCTCGCGGTCACCCGGCATGGGTATCCGGTGGGACATAAGCGATGGTATATTCTTCTGCTGCTGACCGCCCGGACTCTGATGTTGAAGCATATGTTGTTGCTGGGTCTTCTGGGCCACCATTATCTGCTGTTCCAGGTGCTGCCCCTGCTTCTCGAGTTGGGCAATCTGCTGGCTGGCATGCTGAATAAATATCTGGTGCTGTTTTTGGTAGCTGAAACAACAGGGTTAGAGTTAATTGAACTAGATGCTGGGAATCTTAGCCACCAGGTTACTTACTTATCCAAAGTGGCCTTTGTGTTCTGCGCGTATTTGGCGGTTATATCATGGTGCGTGTTCTGCAGATTAGTTTTATACTCCTGCATGGACGAGTCCGGCGACTGCAGCTTTGAAATGACGCAGGCATCGAAGAACTTAGCCTTGGACTCCCACAGCGATAACAGCTTGGCCAACTTCTGGCGCTGGTCGTTACTGGCAACTGTGGGTTGAGATAATACCATTAAATATCCAAAACCAATAGTTCGAAGGGGAAATACATACTCAAGTCGGCGCTGCAGAACATCGGAATGACGACGTTCTCGAGGCTGTTCTTCAAGTCATTGATGTTCTTGCGCATGCTGTAAATACATCGTTGCACTTAGGACTGAGCTCCTCGCTAATCTAATGTCTTGTGTCCTAGGTCAGAGGTCACGTGCGAGTGTTCAGTCCAGTTCTGTCCAAGTTGTACGACTTAAACTAACCAACAAAGCTTGGTAACTGCTTAGTGGGTTAGTTATTTTGGCCTAGGTCTTTTAAATACTATACTATCACTACTAGATTGACTGGGCGAACTTACCAGTGGTGGAGTATATCATTAACTAAATATATAAGATGCAATTTTTGCTGAAACGTTGAACCATTGACCAAAGCCCTAAAAATAAATTAACAAACGAAAAAACATATTTTTCTAGTTTTTTGTATGCACAACAACATTGCCAAAAGTACTTGTTGTGCAAGTATTATGATTTTTGTTAGTTGGTCGTCTTTCTTTTTGAATTTTGATTTATGTTTTTGTCCAATAATTTGTACTGTTTAATGTTTGTGTGTTGTTGTGCGTGTTTATGGTTAAGCTTATTAAGTAAAATGATGATGTGTATAGGTGTGTGGCCCTAGCTACAAGACTTCCGGATCTGGGAACTACTCATGATCATAACATCTTTCGAAAACGAATCAACGAATCAATCTCGAGCCTCTCTTGGGGGAGTCTCAATCGCTCAATCGATCATCTCTCGCTTGTTTTTCGATATTTCGTTTTTGTATGTTTGGTTAGTATTTCACTCGTTGAAAGAAAGAAACACAATTTAATTAATACATGTTGCAGGATATTAATTATAAAACTGAGGCATACTTCTTTAAAAGATATTGTAAAACGACATTGATTTTTGCGCTGTCGGTTGAATGCTGTAAAATCCAGTTCTTGCCTAAAATTGCAATATCAAACGGGTTACTCATATTGTCATTGTCACTGGCGATAATAAATTAGGATTAAAGATTAATCAAAAAGTAGTATGGATTCATTTAGTGTGTGTTTTGTGCGGAGCAACAAAAATCAGCTCCTTTAGCTTAACGTATGGCTGATTACGAGACTACAAACAAGCAATAATGAAATCCAGCCGGATCTCCGAACTCATATTTACCTGCAGAGATGCTGTCCTTGGTGCAGGACTCGATGATCGGCTGCAGGACGCCATCAAAGTCCCTCAGCACAATGCCCTGTTCGCCGGCCATCTGCTCCTGCTGCGCCGTCTGCGCCGCCGCAATGGCTTCCTCGATCTGCTTCGTCTTTTGGTTCATCAGGGCCTACAGGTTGGTTTCGTTTGGTTGGTTGGTTGGTGGTGCGATTTAGTTCGGATGCGTTGGTGTGGTTCGGATCGGATCGGATCGTATCGGTTTGGTCATTGGGCACACAAATTTATTTTCACAATCATATTCGCATTTGCGATTTCGTATTCAAGTCGACAAGCGTATCAAACAAATTTGATTTTGGGATTTGTTTTTTGGTTTTTAAACAGTTTTTTGTCAGTTGGTATGAAGAGTGGTTTGATTGGTAATTTTTTTTTTTTGGTTTATGTTTCAAAAAATACAATAAAGCAAAAATTTAATGTAGCATTGTAAATTGTTAATTCAATAGTTAAAATAATAGCAAATAGAGTTTGTAGTTTGGTAATGCTGAAAGTACACTTTAACTTTATCTTATCCGTTTTTGGAGATCAGGGACTGAGTAGATTGTAGATTCCCTTCAGGGAAGGGACCAGAACAAGAACAGATATTTTTAGGAATTCGTAAAAAATAATTTGTGGGTCAAGAAGGAAATTGCAGTGAATGCATCTGAATTCTTATTTTCAAAAAGTTTGGAATTCAAAATTTAAAAAATGAACAGGTTGGTTCGGTTTAACATTAAATGTTTTATCCAATTAGTAGCCCAATTTAGAATTTGGCAAGTGTGGTTAAAGTTCAACATTTTTGCTAAGGAAACTGACTAAAGTACAATAAGACTTGATCATAATGTTTAAAAAAGGGAAATTGTTTTTACTAGGGGAGGGGTGCCCTTAAAGCTCTTAAATTTCGGTTTTTTAAGTATTCGAAATTAAATCTTACTGGAATAAAATATGGACTAGAATATATAGTTTGGGGCTCGTCGCTTTGCTCGCAAGAGCAAATAAAATTTACACGTTGCAACTAATTGTCTACCTAAGAGCTTTTCTTTTGGGATAATTTGAATGTATTCAAACAAAATAAATGCTTAGCTCCTGACAGAAGAGGCCGAAGATCAAAACAGTAAAAAGGGTGATAATACGTAGTAAGCTTTTCTTCAAACACTTGAGCTGCTCTAATCTCTCAGAAAATGCTTGCAAGGGTATATAGTGTAGACCAGTCGTTGTCAACTTCAAATTACCGTGTGCTGTGCGGAGAGATTCGCTTCGGATTGCTTTATCTGTTCCCGCAGCGTCTTCTGCTGCATCTTGATGGCGTCCAGTTGGGAGGTAAGATTTACGGCCATTGCACTGCCGTTGGCCTGCTGATTGTTTGGCGGTCCACCGTTCCCGGAGTTTGGAGGCCAAGAATGCTGCGCCTGCATATTGTCTTGTGTGTTTTCTGGCGGGTGCTGCTGCTGCTGATTGGGTGGCGGATAATGGCCAGGTGGCTGGGATTGCTGCATTGGCGGCGGATGTTGCATGTAGTGGCCGGGTGGTCCACCCGGTGGCAGTTGTTGGTTCAGGCCCTGCTGCTTGAGCACTAAACGAAGGGAGGTCATGAGAGTTATTAAGGGCTTTTTTGGACGATTTCAGATCCCACTTACGCGTCTGTTCAGCTGCCACCCTAAATTGGTAGTAGCTGGCAAACTCCCCGCCGTAGAGGAACTCGAACTTTGGGTTGTTCTGCTGCTTCTGCTTGGTTATGGCCTCGAATTCCGGTCCATTTCTGGCCACAAACTCCGCCAGCTTGTCTATTATATTGCGTAAACTGGCATCTGTAAGGAGTAAGTTTTGCATAAAATGTGAGCATATCAAAGGTTGTGCGCGCGCGTGTGTTTGTGTGCGTGTGTGTGTGCCTATATATGTGGGCACTGCGTGTACGCCTCTAAAAACGCAATAAAGCCTGTTCAAATTTTACTACATACCACGTGGCGGCTGCACGTCCATGTTGCTGCTCTTTTTAAACACGCGTCACCTTGTTAGATATCCAAATTCATTACTTTTTGCAATTTTCCAGCGGCACTTTTCACTGCGTCTTCTTCTTTTTCTTAATAGTGTGCCCGAATCTGTGCAATCTCAATATACCAAATTGCCACACTCGACACTAGCACCTAGAATATTAAGAATGATTAAAAGTTTGTAGACCTTGTCGGAGTGTAAAAAAGTTCCCGCTTTAATTAGCTACTGTTATACACCGACTTTTTTATAGAAGTTAAATCCAAAAACAAATTGAATATTATAATGCCGGTTACAGCAGAGGTGTCAACTTCTCCACAGCTTCTACCGGCTGTTCTGCCTTCACATAATATCGCATAGTAATAACATCACGCGACCATCTCTAGTTCTGTGCAGTATAAAATAGTTTTTTACGGCACGTAAACAAACCGAAACTATAATTTTAGCCAGCGCGATTGCCACTTTAAAATAATCTCCACGTCTGTAATTAATGCAGCATCCAAGAAGGCATGACAAATCCATTCCATAGGCCGACCACTCCGCGGACAGCGTGGCATTAAATTACACGGCCGCTGTCACATAATCTCGAGATAGCCACTATATAGTTTGTATATACACACACATTCGTCACCCGATGGGCAGCAGAATGGCCGATAATACGGGGAGCGTTATCACCATTAATGGTGGTCAGTCGGCGGGAAGCTCCCCGCCTTCGCAGCGGAAGTCCTCCTCGTCGGAATCTCCACCAGAAATGCGAATCCTGTGCTTCGACCTCACCTACTACAATCGCACCACCCAGTTCCTGCTGAGCTGCGCGGGCGTCTTTATCCTGTACATCCTGTACGGCTATCTGCAAGAGCTGATCTTCACCGTGGAAGGATTCAAACCCTATGGATGGTTCCTTACACTCGTCCAGTTTGGCAACTACATTATCTTCGGCCTGGTGGAACGTCGCCTGGAGGGCTATCGGATAAGCGGTGGATCCTTTTGGAACATTGAGCCGGAGCCACGTCGCATTCCCATGAAAACGTACCTGGTTCTGGCTGCCCTCACCCTGGGCACAATGGGTCTGTCCAACTCCAGTCTGGGCTACCTGAACTACCCCACCCAGGTGATCTTCAAGTGCTGTAAGCTCATCCCCGTCCTGGTGGGCAGCATCCTCATCCAAGGCAAGCGCTACGGACTGCTGGACTTTGCGGCAGCCACCTGCATGTGCATCGGATTGGCCTGGTTCACGCTGGCCGACTCCCAGATGACGCCCAATTTTAATCTGCTGGGTGTGGCCATGATTTCGGGAGCGCTGCTCTGCGATGCGGCCATCGGAAATGTCCAGGAGAAGGCCATGCGGGAGCACAAGGCGCCCAGCAGCGAGGTGGTCTTCTACTCCTACGGCTTGGGATTCGTGTATCTCTTTGTGATCATGCTGGTTACCGGCAACTTCTTCAGCGGATTTGCTTTCTGCCTGGAGGTGGGTAGAAATAGAGATCCCTGATATATGTCTTAATGTTTTCCCCTTTTCAGCACCCCCTGGAGACCTTTGGTTATGGTTTCCTGTTTAGCCTGTCTGGCTACCTGGGCATCCAGTTTGTACTGGCGCTGGTGAGGAGCAGTGGTGCTCCCATAGCTGCCACAGTGACCACCGCTCGCAAGGCTGTGACCATAGCTTTCTCCTTTGTGCTCTTCAGCAAACCCTTTACAATCCAGTTAGTATTTCTTTAAATACACCCGAATCTCTTTTTAACCATCTCAAATTCCCAGATATCTGTGGTCTGGCCTTATAGTTGTCCTGGGCATCTATCTCAACGTATACAGTAAGAAGAACAAGCTGACAATTGCCGACATCCGGCAAAGATTGAAGCAAGTTGGAGCCAAGATTGCCCGCTCGCCGAGTCGCAAATTTCTCATCGAAGTTTAGTTTGATACCAAAAACATGATACAAATTTTAGTCGAATTGACCCAACTGTTTTCTGCAAGAAAACTAATCACTATAATTACTTAATTAAACGCTACACAACTCCGAATGCTATCTGTCCATATCGAACTCCATAACGCGCTTGAAGAGATCTTGTCGCTCCTTGGCGGATGTCATCTGACCCATGGCTCGGTCCAGGAACTGTTTCTGGTGGCTGACAATGAACTTGTTGCACTGGATGATGGTGGCACCAATATAGAGGGTCCTAAACTTGGCCCGAACATCTCCAATCTAGAAAAAAAAGGTGGTCTTGTACCTGGCTTAAGTATATAAAACTGAGACCTACCAATGTGATCAGGGGCAATATGCTGGAGACAAATCGTTGGCCGCGATGCAGGCAGCGTATAATGGCAATTTTGGTCCGATCGTTGATGTACTTCACCCGGAATCCCTGCTCGATCATTCCGAGGCCGTAGACTCCGTGGTATTTTTGTACATTCTGCAGCAGAATTTTGGCCAGGCTGTGATCGTTGAGTCGCAGTGTTTCGGTGGGTGTATAGGGCACAATCTGCACCGCTATATATCTATTAAATGACGGTTTAATTCATGAAAATTAAATTAAAGTCGGTAAATATTTACCTATTTTTAATGCGAACCATTTCAGTGTGCCCGTATCCAGCTTCCGCCTGAAATACCTTGGAATAGGCAAAAAGCAAAGACACCAACCGATAGCTTTTGCGGATGTAAATTAAGTTATCGATCATTTTAATGCAATATCTAAGTATAATTTGAATTTAAGTTTTGGCGGTTAAATTCAGGAAACGGTTTTGTCGAGAAAACATGAAAGTGTTAAGAAATTAAAACTTTGTTTTATTTAAGCAGCGGGTAAGTAATAAATACACTATCTTACAAAAAACTGTTCCGAGTCCCCAGGTGTATTAGGAATACCAATAATGATGTTTGTAACTTTGTTTTTGGAAAAAAAAAACAATTTTAAAAGTAAGTCTTAAAAATATGAGTGTGTGTTCATATGTATTAAAAATATACCCTTGAAAATATTTGAAATGCATTCGTCATACGCGGTTTTCAATTTAAATATTTGTTTTTCATTGTGACGGAATGTTTTCGTTGCAGTCTAAAAGTGTAAACAAAGTGAAAACGCTTTTTTTGGCCAAGTAATGAACTCCATAGAGTATATATGTGGACAGCATTCCCAACTGCGATGTTCTGGACGTGCGATGTGGAGCATTGCTCCATGCTTTGCTCGAGTGACGATTTCTCCAAATCGCGCCTTATTGTCGTGCATCTGGTGGCAGATACTGAACGCGTATCCATGTACATATACCACCGATGTTTTTGTTTATATGTGGACTCGGGGGACGCAGCGCAACGCATCGCATTATAGCAGGCTGGCGCACATATGCACTACCCTCGTCCCACTCCATTTGGATGCTCCATCCACATCCACATCCACATTCACCAACCAACCGATCACTGGCCATGGAAAACCACTATACGGCTCGTATTCAGTCTCCGGCTGCGATTGCGGCGGGATCCGCTCAGATCGCGTTTTATTTTCGCTTTTTCCCATCGCACATTTACAGTTATTTCTAAAAAACAATAAAATTCAGGCAGCGGTGTGGAAAAACGCTACATAGATACATATACTCCAACGATCCGCATATCCACCGATCGGCCGCATTCGTGTTTTTCCGCTTTTCCGTTTTTGTTTTGTGTGCGTGGCAAGTTCACCGATTCTGGTCTATATTTTGGAAAACGCATCCGCGCAGCCTCGTAGTTGGATTGAATATTCCGTGGCGATCGGTTCGAGAGATAAACTCGATTAGACAGATCTTATAGATAGACCGAAAAAAAAAAAAAACAACAGCAACATGAGCAGCGTCGTAAGTTCATTGAAGTTCTGTCCAGCTCCAAAGGATTGCCGCTAAGGAATATTTTTTTGTTTACCCCAGGATGAAGATCTTACCCCCGAGCAGATTGCCGTGCTCCAGAAGGCCTTCAACAGCTTCGATCACCAGAAGACTGGCTCGATCTCGATCGAGATTGTGGCCGACATCCTGCGCCTGATGGGTGAGCACTTGGAGTGAGGGGATCCTCCTGCGGCTTACTTATCCTTTTGCGATTGCAGGTCAGCCCTTCGACAAGAAGATCCTGGAGGAACTGATCGAGGAGGTCGACGAGGACAGTAAGTAGACATCTCCATACATATCGAAAATAATTAATGGCTGAACTAGAATTTTTCAATCATTAAATACAATTTATTTTTACAACGAATACACTTAAAAATAGATGCAATTCTATAGTTGAAAAGTTGCAGTATTTATGTCAAAAAGTATACCAATTAAAATAATTAGTTGAAAATAGCCTATTTACAATTTGAGTGACATATTTTTGATATAATTGTGGAATTTCAATGTAATTTATTTGAATTTGGCTATGATTTATATAAAATAAATTGGTCTTATTCAAAATAAAATTGGAAATGGATAAACAAATAATCCAAGTAAAATGGGAAAATCGTACCAAAATATAATATATTTTCTCAATTTAACTTGAAAAAAAATTGTGTCTAGAAAAATATTAAATTACATCAAATTAATTCAAGCTAGTTACAACAAATGGATAAAGCAAAGAAGACAAAAATTGAAAAATATTTAAAAGTGCCTAGATATTGCTTTTACTTAAAATAATGTAATTATAAACAGATTTGAAGTAAATGAAATAATATTAATATTAATTATTAATTACTTATATTTCTTACTATAATTAAAAATGCTGCCAAAATAGGTAATGATTTTCAGCCTTGTCTGTCTTATCTTTACCCCAACCCAGAGATGATTCACCACCGAGTGATGATCATATTTCAGTTTCTCGCTGTCATTGATTTATGATCATCGCAGTTTCGGGGCCTCGATCATTAGTTTTCCAGTCGTTTTTCAGCTAATTATAAGGTGTATTTGACTTTTTCAGAGTCTGGTCGCCTGGAATTCGGGGAGTTCGTGCAGCTGGCTGCCAAGTTCATCGTGGAGGAGGACGCGGAGGCCATGCAGAAGGAGCTGCGGGAGGCGTTCCGTCTGTATGACAAGCAGGGCAACGGCTTCATTCCCACCACCTGTCTGAAGGAGATCCTCAAGGAGCTGGACGACCAGCTGACCGAACAGGAGCTGGACATCATGATCGAGGAGATCGATTCGGACGGTTCCGGTACAGTGGATTTCGATGGTGAGTGTGCCCCAAAATTCTAGTGGCTTGCCATCCGCCATCCACCATGTGGGTGGATACATGGCAAATGGAAAATGGAAAATGGGGAATGGCCCGCATGGCGATCATAAATCGCGATGATCTTGAGATCGTGCGATCGCTCGATTATGACAGCTTGATCACCGCTCCCATGGAGCATATCGGTCGCTATTTTTAGGCGCGACACACAAATTCGATTCCGAATATATTCCACGCATTTTTCATTATGAGTATATGTAGGTACATTTTTGTTTTCGTGTTTATGGAATATTTATTTATAAATGCATATAGCGGTTGCTCTGGCTCTTGCGTCGGTTTAATGCCTGTCATTTTGTTTAATTTACAGAATTCATGGAGATGATGACCGGCGAGTAAATAAACGCACTGCGACTGCCACCCACTCAGCCACCCACCACCCACCACCCCTTGGAAAAACTCCCAAAACATAGAAAAAAAACACACACAACACAACACACACACATGCACACACTACACACACCTGTTGGGCACACGTTTGTTTGCTTCTATTTGCACGCTTTATTTGCATTTTCCCCATTTTTCGTTTCGAGGGAGCAAACAAATCCACGTACTTCAGTTTGACAATGCCAAACACGAATAGAAATAGAACTTTTGTACTACTTTTTTATACTAAAAGAGCAACGGAATACTGTGTATGCGAAAAAAAAATAAATGTTATGCTATAGCAAAAAAAACCCAAAACAATCCACCTATTGTTTTTATTTGTTTTGGGATTAGTTTTTGCCGCCAAGCAAACAAGTCCATATATTTTGTTTTGATAATGAGGGTAAACATACTAACGCTGTCGTAAATCTTATTCAGTCCTAATATATGGATATGATTACCAACACGTTTTACATACACCATAGGTATATATTCCATATATGAATGTTATTTATACTTGTTGTGGCTTTAACGAAAATCATCGTTTGACAAGTATTAAATGATTTGGCAGAACAACAACTGAAAATAAATGAACAGGCAATTAGTCAGAAGTTTTCTTCTCAGAGACAAATTTGTATTTATTTCATTTTCTTGCCAGATTAAGTGTTTCTTTTTGCCGAAGACTAGGAAAACCACTTATTTCTCTTTGAAAATATTTGTAAAATGAATTTATTTTTGTACCAAATGTTTGAAATATATTTGATTTGCATGAAACTAGTTTTGGTGGCTTGGGCAGTGGTGAAATTTATAGCATAGGCCGGATATCTATGACATAAGTATTGATATGTACAAGGTCAGCAAGTATTTCAAAAATGGATTTAAAAAATTGTGTTTCACTAATTGGTTTTTGTTTGCGGTTATACAAATATTCACGGCTTACCAGCCTTTTAGGCATAAATTAAAGCTTTATGCCAGAACATGTAATTAAGCTTAAGACTTAATTTTTTTGTATGGAATAGAATCAACCTATGATTTTCCCCTTACCAAAAGTTTGAGAAGATTACGTTTGAATGTCTATTTTTTCACGATCCCAATATTTTTGTTTGTTTACTCAGTTATATATGCTATAGCTTGAATAAAACTCGGCTAGCTTAAGTAAGCTTGGGTGGAAGCTGAGGTTGGGATGTATCCGTATTTAAATCCAGAGTTGAATCCGTACGTAAATCCGTACGTGAATCCTATCTTGAATCCTTGCTTGAATCCTTATTTGAACACTTTCACGAATCCTTACTAGAACACTTTCTTGAGTCCGTACTTGAAATATGTATCTGTAACTTGTATATTTGATAAGGTGTAGAATTCGGTTAAAGTCGGATTGCTAATGCCAATAGGATTCATTGTACTTTATTTGTATGCCCTTGCCGAGGATATTGTGAGATTTACTTTTCTATTCCCATTGCAGTTACTATATAAATCGGAATTGGCCAGATTAACCAACTATTTCATATAGCTTCCATTACAACAATAGAAAGAAATTTCAAAAATAGTACGAACTGCAATAGTGTTTTTACGATTTCAGATTTACGGTTTAAATTTTATCACATAGCTGCCAAGGAAAAAAGGATACATAAAAAAGAAATAAATAAATATTTAAATTTTTCAATAGCTTTCTTGCTTGCATCAGTTTCACCAGAGCTCAACTTCTTCAGGGACCAATCTGAAAAAGGAAATTTTATTTTATACCCTTTTAATCGTTTATAGTTTCATCCAGACTAACATTTGGATTCAACTTCTCTGTTCTGTGACAGGAAACAATTTAAACTTCGAATTTGCCTACATTTCTGTAGATCTCGTATACCAGATTATGTAATACTCATGCAGTGAGGATATATCTTATATGATAATTTATTTATTAATTATGATAATTTGTATAAATAATAAAAAAAAATTAATCGACATTCAAAAAAATAGACTTCAGACTATTCACTTCAGAGATTGTGTTTTTTAACTGCTCACCTCTCCATTAATGTTCAATTAAATGAATCGAGTGATGGATAGCCCGACTTAACCACACCGTCTATATACTGCCAAAAACGTTGAATGCGATCAAAAACCAATATGTCCTAAATATAACTACTTAAACTATGAAAATAAGCAAACAGATATTGCATTAACGGATCATAATATAATATCCAGCTCGGTTTAAAATAATAGAAAAAAATAGCAATTAAATAGTTAAACAATTTAAAAGGCGTTTTTTCCTATGAGAAATAATATTTCTCTAGAAGAGCAAAAGCTAACTGAAAGAAATGTGTAACAGTTAAGCGGTATTCTTTGCTAGTCAAAGAAATGGTTCGATCGGCAGCAATAGACGGTTGAAATACGAGGGTGGTCCGATAAGTACTTAGCCTCCAAAAGAAAAACGAAAATTTTGGAAAAGTGGCGGTTTATTTCTCAACATAATCTCCTTTTAGCTCGATACACTTGACCCAGCGATGCTCAAACCTCTTTAACCCGTCTGAAAAATACGTTTTCGGCGACGACCTCCTCATTCGACCCAAATTTCTGTCCAGCGAGTGACATTTTCAAGTTTGGAAACAAAAAGAAGTCACACGGGGCCAAATCTGAAGAATATGGTGGATGGGGTAGCAGTTCGTAGCCCAATTCGACCAATTTGGCCGTGGCGAGGGCGGAAGTGTGAGCCGGTGCGTTGTCATGATGGAAGAGCACTTTTTTCTTCGCCAAATGGGGGCGTATTTTCTGCAATTCGGCGGCGAATCGGCCCAATGTTTCGGCGTAGTACAGCCCTGTGACCGCTTTAGTCGATGTAGATCACACCTTGTGAATTCCAAAAAGCGGTGGCCATCACCTTACCGGACGATGAGACAGTCTTCGCCTCCTTCGGAGCAGGTTCGCCGGTCGAAGTCCACTGTTTCGACTGTTCCTTGGCCTCTGGTGTGTACCAGTGGATCCATGTTTCGTCGAAGGTCACGGATTGCGCTTAAACCACGTCAAACACTGCTCTGAAGTGGTCTCCCGGTTGCGTTTGTAGTCCGCAGTGAGCAAACGCGGCACCCATCGCGCCGGCAGCCGTTTTTGGGGCTCATCAAAAACCGAGGTGCGACCACGTTGAAACTCGTTAAACCAATTTTTGACGGTCGCCATCGAAGGAGAAGAGTCACCGTACACAGGATCCAAGCGCTCTTTGATTTCGCTGCGCGATTTTCCTTCATAATAAAATATATAATTTGTAAATTAAGAATACACTTAGTATCATATATGAGTAAGATTCAAGGATACATATTAAATACTGTTAGTCCATGTAGATTACAGACTCTGTCGAGATGTTGTGCAGTCGTTCGGCTTGGATTTCAAGGTTGCGCCAGGTGGTAAAGTACTTTTTGGCCCCAACAGCAATGGCCAATCCAAGGATGATTGCAGCACAGCAGCCCATGATAACCATCCACTTGGGAGTCCATATGCTGTCCTCAGTCTGCGGCATTCGGCAGACGTAATGCATTTCCTCGGAGCTCGGGTCCTTGCAAATCATCTTCCCACTTTCTTTCACACAGGCCGTGCGACAGACGGGACGGCATACGGATTCGGCAGGATTCAAGACGTCCGCCAGGTAGCCCTCATTGCACACACATTCATTTGGGGCTATGCACTGCCCGTTCTTGCAGCCCTTCTCACAGATCGCCTCGCAAACGAGCTGGGAGCTGTTCTTGAAACCATTGCCCATGTAGCCGGGATCGCACGTGCAGACGTCGGGAGCGCTACAACTGGCATTCTCCGGGCAACTTGAGCACACTGGCTGGCAGTTGGTGCCCATCTCGTTGCCGGTGTATCCTGGATGACACTTACAGACCTCTGGCTTCACACACCGGCTGTGCTGGCCACAGCCTTCTTCACAGATGGGCCAGCACTCTCCGCCTGCATCAAACGTGTATCCCTCGGAGCATTCGCACCAGTTCGGTAAACTGCAGTCAGAGTTTGAACCGCATTCGTCTTGACAGACTGGTTTGCATTTGCTCCCTACCCTCTTAAAGCCACTTTCGCACTGGCATTTGCTTGGCTCCGCGCAGAAGCCGAAATTTCCACATAACTCGGGACACACGGGCACGCAGTTTCCGGTGAGGTAGTTCCGGTCGTAGCCGTTTTGGCAACTGCACTGGCCCGGTCGGTCGCAATACTTGCCATATTCACAATCCGCAGGGCAGAGGGCCTGGCAATACAATCCGCCGTAGCCCTCCTTGCAAATACAGCGTCCGGAGGAGCCGCAGTAGCTGTTGGCAGGACATTCGTTGAAGGTCTGGTTCCCCATCATTGTGTCATTTGTCTTATAGGTGCAAACATGTCCGTTGAAATTCGGACGGCAAGAAGGTAAGCCAAAGACTAGTGCCAGGCACACAAAAGTAAAGTACCAAAAGGACATGAATAATGTGTTTTATTTTTATTTTTAAATTGAATAGACTTGTCTTAAGCAACCACCCTGCTCAATGATTTAAATTGAAATGAACTCCCAAAGCTGTGATGCTTTAATTCACCCTTTTTTTTCGTATACCGGATATGTATGTACATACGTCTTTCGGAGAATGTCATCATACACCATGTGCGTATAGATTTTATGAAAGCGAAAAGAAGCCATATGGTTAATTTTTATGTCAAACTACAATCAAATTGGACTGATAACAAGTGTTTTCAGTAAAATAAAATAAAATAAAACAAGAAAGGAAAGCTAACTTCGGGCGGAGCCGAAGTTGATATACCCTTGCAGAATATTCTGTAAATTATATTCTCCAAAATTATTCATATGACGCATTCTTAATACTCATAAAAAATCCCAACTTCCTAACTTTAAAAACACCAAATGATTTAGTCGGTCGATCCTTATGAAATTTGGTAGGTCGGATTGATTGGCCAAATATAAAACCCATAGAAAATCCCAACTTCCTAACTTTACAAACACCAAAGTTATGGCGTTTCCGATCAATCAGTTATATGGCAGCTATAGGATATAGTCGGCCGATCCCGTCCGTTCCGACTTATATACTGCGTGCAAAGGATAGAAGGGTGTGTGCAAAGTTTCAATTCGATAGCTTTAAAACTGAGAGACAAGTTCGCGTAGAAAGAGACAGACGGACAGACAGACGGACAGACGGACATGGTTATATCAACTCAGGAGGTGATCCTGATCAAGAATATATATACTTTATAGGGTCGGAGATGTCTCCTTCACTGCGTTGCACACTTTTGACCAAAATTATTCATAATTCATAAGCACGAATTTTATAGACTCTGCGCGCTTGGTAGAGCAAATTATTTTTTTTTGTAAATTGTAAAAAGTCAGTGTTAATGTTTTCGAAAAAGTTCAAAATTTTCGAAGAAACCATTTTCAAAACTAAAGGTGAGCAAAAAAAAAAAAGTGGGCGAGAATGGGCCAATGGTTAAGCTATTCAAATTTCAAAAATTCGATTTTCGACGACCAAACTTCTTTGAGCTCATTGTTCTGTAATAACTGCAAGGGTATATAAACTTCGGCTTGCCGAAGTTTGCTTCTTTCTCGATTTTACTTATGTTATAAACACACATGAGAAGTAATGTTCAGAACGAAAAATTATAAGTTTTTTCGGTCAGATACATTTTTTTATACATTTCTTCTAATTTTTAGAAAAAATTAGCTTAAAATGTATGGTAAGATGCCCTACTCTTAAGATATATTTTTCTATTTTTATACCCTTGCAGAGGGCATTATAATTTTGGTAAAAAGTTTGAGACGCAGTGAAGGAGACATCTCCGACCCTATAAAGTATATATATTCTTGATCAGGATCGCGTCCTGAGTTGATATAAGCATGTTCGTCTGTCCGTCTGTCTGTTTGTACGCGTAGAAAGGCTCTCAGTTTTAAAGATATCGAATTGGAACTTTCCTTCCTTTGCACACAGTATATAAGTCGGAACGCCCGGGATCGGGCGACTATATTCTATAGCCGCCATATAACTGATTGATCGGAAATGCTGTAAAGTAAGGAAGTTGGGATTTTCTATGGGTTTTATTTTTGGCCAATCAACCCGACCTAGCAAATTTCAAACGGATCGGCCGACTATATCCTATAGCTGCCATATAACTGTACGATTGGAAATGCCATACCTTTTTTTTTTTTTTTGGCAAACCAATATAATTTACAGAATATTCTGTAAGGGTATATCAACTTCGGCTCCGCCCAAAATTAGCTTTCCTTTCTTGTTTATTATTAAAAAAGTTATATAACTATGCACAAAATTTGAATTTAAATTTTAGTGCGCGCGCTAAGGGAACGAGTGGTCACACTGACAGTGCCCTGCGGACAGTGGTCACACTGGTAGCTCGACAAATAGTCTTACTTAAACTTCAAATGTAATTTTCAAACAAACGTCTTAAGTAATGCATTTGACTCCAAAATAGGTTTTTTCGGAAACTTATCTCGTTGGAATTTCCAGTAGACCATGTTAGATGGGTCTTTAGTTATCCGAGCATCAGGACACAAAAAGTCCTTTTTAAAAACTACATATCTAATATTTTCCTTGTTACTTTTGGAGAACCCATCTTGATCCGACCTTTTTACTTTAATAATTAACAGTCTTCCCTTAGTAATACATCATTCTAGCGTACTTACGTCCGCACATCAGTTTAAAAAATTTAAATCATAGTAAATAATAGGATTATCTATTTTATTTCTAGTTCTAGTTAATATATATATTCCATAATAATAAAAGTTACCGTCAGCTGCATAATGATTTTCTTTAATAATGGAAAATGTATTACTGCACATGTTATTTCAATACTTTCGTCGTTTGTTATTCTTATTAGTTAAGGTTCAATAAAACATCTAATCAATCTTAAATCGACCTAGTATTTTAAGTATCCACAACAGCGGTTTGTTATTGCCTCTATGCCCTCTTTTTCTTTTCCCATATTAACTATAATAATATGATATGCTCTTAGCAACTTAAGTAAGCTGGTCTACAAGTTGACTTCTTGTAGCTTCGCTTTGCGAAGAGAAGCCGGCGGAAGAAAGCTGCTTGGCCGAAAGCTCGCGTCTTAACCACGTTAACTCTACAGGTCTAAAAAACGAGCATTGGCCCGTCATTTAGATGGCATTTTGTACCGCTGAGTTGAGCGCTGGGCGTCGATCGTCGAACGTCGTACCGCTTCTGCCGTAAGGCCACCGAAAATCAAAATTAAAACTATCCGCGAGTTTTCCGCTCTTGACACTTAGAGTCTCGTGATTCCGCGGTTCGCGATTGATAAAGAAAAAGAGGCGGGCATCGAGTGGATATGTTCAATATGCCGCAGAGGTAAAGAAAGTGCCTAGCTGTACCGCTATTTGTATAGTAACAGTAACAGTAACGAAATCTGTTTGTTTTGGCTTATTCGGTGTGTGGCCAAGAATCAAAAATGCGAACGTGTTAAAAGCCGCAAAGCCACTGCCATTTGGGCATGTCAATAAAATTTATGATGGCATAAAGTTTTATTTTTGAAAGGCACCCATCGATGTTCTCTTGGCCTTTTCATTTCTCTAGCCCATTGGCTTATCAAATAAATTATAAAACTAAATTGGACCTGATAAACGCGACCAGTTGAGCTATTGTAAATTTGTGCGTGTGTTGTGTGTGTAGTGCTTCGAGTGTTTTGTGCATTTGTGTGTGTGTGTGTGTCTGTGTTTGCGGCGATTGTCAAGTTCGCTTGATAAGCGCTTTTTTCGTGGGTTTTTTGTAATTTCAGCCATGATTGAAAACAAAAGCCATTGCCAGCGGCCTAACGACACGCGCTGCGGAGTGGGGGGAAGGTTTTGAGCGGGCAATACGGGAAAATTCTGCAGCTCAGCGGCAGAAACCAGACGCCGACGTCAGCCGAAGTCTGTGACGTGAGTCACAACAATGGCTCGCCAATTAGCACTTGACTTTGAATCAAATCAAGCCGAAATCAATCGCAAACATGATAACGAAAAACACAATTGTCCAATCCAAAAAGGCAAACAAATCGTAATTCGCGACTAAGCACACTAAACAACTGGAAATGTCTCTCTGTTTCTCTTCAAGTCCCACCAACAACTGGTCGTTCCAGCCACTTCATCGCCAGCGGAGCATCAGCGGATATCCTCAACATGTCCTTAATACGGTGCCGGAAACCGCCGTGCTCACCACGCCCCCGCCCACGCGGAAACGTAAGTAACGCTCCCCTTTCCAGTGGACATTTGAATTTTGCGCTCTATAAAGCAGTGCAGCAAGCAGTTAACAGTGATGGTTAGGCTTATGTTTTTTTAATTCCATTTTTGGGCAGTCCAACGAATATTTCTTTTAGGGCAAAAAGGGAAGACAAACTTTCATTCAACTTTATTTCATTTTTGCATGATTTTGGCTATATTATTGAGATTTTAGTAGCATAACAGCTCTCTCATTTAACATGTCTCTGTTACGGAATTTGCAATCTGTCCAACACTGTGTTAAACGGTATTTTTACCAGGGCTGTCTAGCTTGTAGGCTTATGTATATTTTAAAATTTGGATAATGAAAAAAATGTTTTAAATAATCTTATACTTACCAGAATTACCGAGCCATGCTGTTAACGTATGTTACAAAGTTATATTTTCTTACTTACTAAGAATTATGTTATTATTTTAAAGTCTTTTTATGCCAAAGCTTGAAATATGAGTTAAGGTTAATAACCGGACTTACCATTAATAACTTTAACAAGTAATGTAATTCTTTAGTTAACATTAAATTCAATATATTAAAATATCTATTATACTTAAACACTTAAAATAAATCTTTTTGGACAAATCCTCAGGGCTAATGTGATTTTAAATTAGATACGTACTTACTGACAAAAACGGTACTAATTAGTGTTTTTAATTTAAAAAATAGCTTAATGAGAAAATATGGTTTTATTTGTGGTATTTAAAAGAAGCGACAATATTCTATTAAAAACAATACTTTTTTAAAATCCGCGGGCACTCTGTACGGTCTAGTATTATAATGGTATTTTTAGGAATTCGCTCTACTCCCAACCTCGTATGCACTTGGCAACACTGCTTTTAATTAAACAACAACAACTGAAATAAAAACAAAAATTACAGCGCTCACAATACAAATTGCTGGCGTTGCTTCAGCGGAAAGCGGACACAAGCGCAGATTTTTAGCAGCGCGGAAAAAGCCGAAAAGCGCGATGAAAATGCTCGCGGACACAGAGCGTGAGGAAGCCCTCAATTTGGTAAGTTTCCGATGTCTAAAACTATGTGAATCCATGACAACGGCATTGTAGCAACAAAAACAATAACAACCGTTGCCAAAAAAAGCGATTAATTCGACCCTCTTTATATTGACTAATTGATTATCGATTATCGGTGTTTTTCGTTCTGTTTTTCCTGCTTTTCCCACTTTTCCGCCGCCCCCGCACACTCGTTTTTATTGATTTGTACACGGAACGTGCTTTGTTTGATGGCGCTATCGCAAAAATACAATATATACCGACGCACATATATAATCTCTGGCTGGCGGGACGCGACCACGAAATACAAAATACGGAACACGAAAATATGCAAACCCAAACCCCCATTTCCCGCAGCAAATTGAATTCGAATGGGTGCTGCGGCAAGAGGTACACGCGATACTGAAGCAACTGCGGACCATTCTGGTGGTGAGTACATAAACGGATAAGCATTGGCTAAAACCCAGCTCAAGAAGTACACAGCTATAACGATTATCGTAACCCCACAGGAATGCGCCCATCGGTTTCCGGTGCCCCTGTACGAGAACGAGGGAAAGAAGACTGAGAAGTTCATACTCACCGTGTCGCCCGATCAGCTGAAGGCCGTGCTAACGTTAACGGGCGATGCCATCACCCAGGCTGTAAGTGCCAGTGATCCCCTAGATGATATGGGCAAACACCCTAAAAAGTTCAAAGACCCTTACCACATACTTCCTCAAAAAGAGTTATTCTTATACCACACAACGGTAAAGAAGAATGCCATAAAACCTCTTCATATGACTCCCCGAAAGAAATGGGGATATCCCCTAAAAGTACCTTAAATGATAAGCTTACATAGTACATTTACTTAAAGAAATGCTTTAGAATCTTGTTCCATAAAGATGAATCAGTTGTGGGTAAGATTGTTACTCCCCCAAAGTGTCGGGAAATACCCTTTCATGTTCCCCTTTTAAAGAACATATTAAAACTGATGACACAGAAATCTCTTCGGTGGAAAAATCAGTATATATATTATATGAACATTTCAAATGAGTTTCAAGATAATTCACTTTAATCTAGGCTACCCAACCTTATTCAATTATATTTGCAAAAAAAATATTTACATATTTGGAAAAGAGACATAAAGTTATGTACCAGTGCTAGTACTAGTTGTCAATTCGTTTTATAGCAACGAGCCATCAATAATCATTTAATCTTGTATTATTACGTCATTCCAATTTGAAGAAAACAACCTTAAGTAATAAACTGATAATAATATTTGTAATTAGTACTTTTTGCCTACAACAAGCACTATTTAATTATTAATTAATTATAAATAATTTCAACAATTCCTAAAATAGATAAAAGTATTATCTGCTTTTGTTAACGTATACATCGGTGATTATATTAACATTTTCGAAGTCTTTTACAAAGATTATATTACCCTTTTAACGTTACATAAGGCTAGGCTAGGCAGCATTTTCCCACCTCTCGCCCCACCCATAGAAATACTAATCAAGTAGTTTCCTTCCCCAGGACATTAGCTTTAAGCTGTGCAAGGCTCCGAGCCAAACGCAACGTACCTCCATCACACATGACTCGCCCTGGAAGCTGCAGCAGGTCCAGGATGCCGCGAATCATCTGCAGACCGCCATTAATCACATAGACGATGTCGACGACTCTTATCACTTCAAGTGAGTCACGTTTTGTTTTGCATGAGAATCGCGATTCTACTTATATTTATATGCAGAACCTCCGACGAAGTGCTACATGTGATAGGCAACATTCTAGACGCACTGCAACGCGGCAGGAACAGTCTGCTGGTGCCCAAAAAGAAGCCCATCGACGAGCTGATCAAGGGGCGCAATATGAAGTCGCTGGTGCCCAATCTGCCGGAGGATCTGGCGGTGAGTTTCTACCTGCAGAGCCACAAGCTGATCATTGCCGTCTACCAGCTGCTGAACAACCAGGGCACCATGCGCTTCGACTCCCGCCAGGCGGAGGCCTCCGTCCAGTGGCTAAACGATGTGCTACTGCTGCTGATGAATGGCCAAAAACTATGCCAGCAATTGAAAGACAAGGTGAGTCGCAGGTGAAGCACCGGAAGTGGGCAAAAGAACGTTCGATTTGTATGACTGCACACAAAACAGAAAACTTGTAAAGGCGGAAAGAAGGGCAGGCACAAATAAAAAATAATGAAAACTTATCAACTCATTAGCATTCCTTAAATATAAGCAGCTCAACCATAAAGGGTAAATACATTTTAAATTAAGAAGTGTAATACAAAAATAGAATTTATACTCCTCATACAGGCTGTCTACGGTCCAATTTTCTTTAGAAATTATGGCTATTATATCATGTTTGCCCCCCGCATTCACCAAAAAAAGAACACTTGTTCTCAGCGGGTTAGAACTATACACAGAAAAAGTCAATTATGCTACACAGGCACCAAAAATTTGTTTAAAAAAATTCAAAACAATTATTCTTAAGTCTTGTATAAAATATGTTTTAATTTAGGAGCAGCGATTTAAGTTTTTTATCTATTTTATGTAAAATATCTATAAACTTTTTATTAAATTATAGTTATATAGTTATATATAAATTATAGTTATTTCTCGCGGTATATCTTAGAAAAATATAGTGAGAAAGATATTTTGGCTCTTGGTTCTTGAGAAGATCAAAATTGATCTATCATTTTTAGGTCAGAACAGCTCATTAGTGTTCAGCAATTACTACCCGCCCACACGATTATTTGTACATGAAACACACCCACCAAAGTAAATACTATTTTTGGAATTAGCCGGCAATGATAAGGCTTCTGCTCTTGAACTGATAGCAGGCCGTCTCGCATCGGCGGAGCACATGTGCGAGAGTCGCAGATGCTGTCCCATTTTCCGCACCCACAAGATGCTGCCAAGTTTTATTTGGTTGCTGGCCATTTGCCAGGGCCACGCTGCAGTTCTTGACTGTGACGCAAAGCGGCAATTAAAGTGGCCAATATAGGGATTGGCAGAACTATGGCAAATATGGGGAATGGGAAGTGGTGGGATGGGCCCGCGGATGAGTTGTGGGTGTATTTTTAATTCCATATTTCAATTCTTCCCCAGATATCTGTGTTTTCGGTGTACAAAGATTTCACAGTTGGCTCGCGTTCGCCCTCAGCGCTTTCCTATTGAGATAAGGCGGGATCGGGAACGGATACTTGATGGATAGCAACTGTGGAGCGGCGACAGAAACAATAACAACAATAATAGCTAATAAAGAACCGTACTTGTAATAGCGAAGTAAATAATGTTAGTTGAAATGTTGCTACTGGAAACGGCACACCCATAATACCCATGCATACTATACTATATACTATATACAATACTATACTACTGCTATATACAGTACAGAGAGTAGTATACATACATCTAGTTTAATGTACACAATCAACATTCATGTTTAATTACGATTACGTAGAACCTGAGTTCATCGCTTCACGTCACTCCAATTATGCATCAAAATGCATCTAGCAATAGGCTGAGAATTGAGAACTAAAAATGTTTGAGAAAACCAATTGTGTTTTGTATGTGTAACTAAATGAAATTGCTAGATAATTATAGTTTACTCGTACGTGTAATTTAATGTAATATACTATGTCCCATTATTTATGTTCGCGAAGATGCAATGTAATCCAACAAGTCAGCAGTCATTCGGTTCTTAAAGACGGTACTTACAACTTATATACACCCCAATACGCCTCCATATACATAAGTACATACGGATGTGGCACCTACATCGGCATTTACATGATATTGTTGTAATAAACCAAACCGAAATGTGAACAGAATTTTTAATTGTACTAAACACCGTTTTGTATTCGTATTCGTAATTGTATATCCGTAATTGTATTCCCCGTACTCGTTAATGGTTAATGGTTAAGCGCGCCTAATCCTAATCTAATCCAAAGTCATTTGTATCAACGGCCTTTACTTCTCGTTTACTTTATACATCTACCAGGGAGTTTATAAAGATATAGAAAGTTATTGAGAGATGCAACGAAAACAATTACCACTGTACTTATTGAATATTACAATTGCCTAAGCACCCCACTGAATGCATGGGAAAAGAAGACAACTATTTATGTAATCACTAAGCGTACTTACTGTCCACATTCATTTAATTGTTGTTGAATAAAAATTACCTTTTACCAAAAGGCTTTGTTTTTAAACTTTCGATTCCTCGCGCCAAAAACGCTATTGCTGCGATCGATAGCAGCGATAGCGATAACCCTGCTGTTTGGCAACGCTCGTTTCGGTTTTAGCCAGATTTGTTTATAGCCAACAGTCAGTTTCAAGTTAGCAGGCAAGCGCAAAGGTTTGCCGATCAAAAAAGCCCTCCATTCTTCTGGTAAGCGGGAATTCCTTCTGATTTATAGTTAGATTTTCGGACTTCTAGATGCACAAGTGCTATTAAGTTAAGTGGCCAGGCAAAACTGCCAAATAAAGTGTTGTCGTTGACGTGCATGTCGAAATAGACGCGGAAACCAGTTCGCCGTAATTGTTTTGATGCTGTGTTGTAATCTTTAAGCCAGCCCAGCGACAACATTAGCACATTTAGCCATGTTTCTCTTTGTTGTGATTGCTGCTGGAGTTGCTGTTGCTGGTGTTGCTGATGTAGATGTTGCTGTTGCTGCTGTTACTCTTGTGTTTTGTTTCTTCTTTGAGTCTGCACAGCGGCCTTAGTTGCTGGCCTGCGTCTAATAAAATCAGACAAAAGTTGACCGTGGCCAAGTAACACACTATGGGGAAATAGAAATCGAAAGCTGCACAACGAAAATGTCAATGGACTTTTAGTTATATCTCAATTTTAATTTACATATGACTTTTCTTAACTTTTCCCTTGTGCGAAACAAGTTTTCCATCAATCTTTGACCTTTTTGGGAAACTTTGTGACCAGCTTTCAAAAGACTTTTATTTCTTAATATTTTGGTTAACAAGGAAGTTTAAAGTCATTTTGGCAATCTAAAAATATGAATGCAATAATTAACAAAATCAAGGCCAATAACATTAATTTTTTTTTTATTTCGGTTTATCTAAAACTTTTGCTCTACATTTGCTATTAAAGAGTGAGCCTTTATAATTGTTCGGTATCAAAAAATGAATACGCAGCCTTTGATTGAGTTTTTTTTATCAAAATTTTCTTTTTCTTTTTTTAATTTTCTCAAATGAAAAGAATTTTGATAAATTTGCAAAAATTATTTTGATTTGAATTTCTAAAAATGGTAAAAAAGAATTTTGTTTTATGAACTTTCGCTGTTTTCTTAACGAATCTGAATTAAGTTTATCGGAGATAATTTTTGTTGGTATTATCATACCCTTTATTTATTTTTTCGGTTTTAAATTTTCTAAAGGCTTTACTATTTTTAGTTCAAATTTAATAATTCGAATTTAAATTAAGTGAAAGTTAGGTAAATGTTTCCTATAATTTAAAATAGATTACGCTAAGTATGAAGTAAATAATTGGAGTACTCAGGGAAATGTGGATTGGACAAAGTATGAATTAAATACATATATAGTAGCCACCTTTATTAGCGGACCGGGGCGTCACGTAAGCCGCGCATTTGAAAATGCGCCGAGTCACTCGGAAACCTGCTCCGCTGACCCTCGAAGAAGGTCGCCGGCTGATGATGAGCCAGTTTATGTGATATATCCAAGTGGCCGGGTTTATGGGGCTGCCGACCATAAAAGCCGCTCTCACGGAAACTCCACTTAGCCACTTAAGTCAGTCCAGCTAACCTGCAGTCGGTCTCGTTGCAGTAAACCCAAAAAGCAGTGCACTTTGACCCCCGGACGCAATGAGCGGCGGCAACAGAAGCGGGGCAACCGAAGTGGTGCTCGTAACCGGCGGCAGTGGATTTCTGGGTCAGCACCTCATCAAGCAGTTGCTGGAGCGGAAGGAGGAGCTTGCCATCAAAGAGATCCGCTCGCTGGACATAGTGCCCTACAAGAACAACATCGGGCATGAGGAGACGCCCCTGCTGCGCACCTTTGTGGCCGATATCGAAGGCGATCGGGCGGAACTTAGTCCAATCTTCGCCGGGGTGGACGGGGTCTTCCACTGCGCCGCCTCGGTGAAAATCGAGTATCCGCCCAACTACGACGAACTGGAGCGCGTGAATGTGAAAGGTGAGTGGGCAGACAAAGTACCTCAACCACATGAGAAGCGTAATTCGAGGTATAATTTCTTTGAATTTAATGAGCCGAAATAGTCTATTTTCATGCGTTGCATTGGACAAATATGGATATAATAATATGTGATTCACGACAGCTGAACCCGACTAACCTATCTAATTTTCACCCAATCGCTCTATTTTAGGCACACTGGCCGTGGTAGATTTGTGCATCCAGAACAATGTAAAGCGCCTGGTCTACACCAGCTGTACATCCGTGTGCTTTGTGCCCTTTAAGGGGCAAAGTACCTTCTCGGCGGTAATCAACTCGACAGAATCCAAGACAGACACGCCCACGCTGGACAGTTCCACGCTGTGGGAGCAGGACCATCAGTTCCTGATACAAGGATACGCCTCCAGCAAGCTGAGAGCGGAGAATATAGTGCTCAACTCGAATGGAGCACCTCTGCAGAACCAGCAAGGTAAGTTTGCCTAGATAAGTGCTCGAAATGCTGAGTTCTATTGGGAATCTTGAAACATTAAAAACCATTTCGATTTCCAATTAAAAAAGGGATTGTCTTGTGTATATCTTTCATTTTTATACCCTTGCAGAGTGTATTATAATTTCAGTCAAAAGTTTGCAACGCAGTGAAGGAGACATTTCCGACCCTATAAAGTATATATATTCTTGATCAGGATCACCTCCTGAGTTGATATAGCCATGTCCGTCTGTCCGTCCGTCCTCAGTTTTAAAGCTATCTGCTTGAAACTTTCCCAAAAGTTGTCTTTCTATTGCAGGTAGTATATAAGTCGGAACGAGCCGGATCGGGCGACTATATCATATAGCTGCCATATAACTGAACGATCGGAAAAGCCATAACGTTGGTGTTTTTAAAGTTAGGAAGTTGGGATTTTCTATAAGTTTTATGTTTGGCCAATTAATCCGACCTACCAAATTTCTTAAGGATCGGACGACTATATCCTATAGCAGCCATATAACTGATTGATCGGAAATGCCATAACTTTGGTGTTTGTAATGTTAGAAAGTTGGGATTTTCTATGGGTTTTATATTTGGCCAATCAATCCGACCTACCAAATTTCATAAGGATCGGCCGACTATATCCTATAGCTGCCATATAACTGAACGATTGGAAATGCCATAACTTTGGTGTTTGTAAAGTTAGAAAGTTAAGACTTTCTACAGGTTTTATATTTGGCCAATCAATCCGACCTACCAAATTTCATAAGGATCGGCCGACTATATCCTATAGCTGCCATATTACTGAACGATTGGAAATGACATAACTTTGGTGTTTTTAAAGTTAGGAAGTTGGGACATTTTATGAGTATTAAGAATACATCATATGAATAATTTTGAAGAATATAATTTACAGAATATTCTGCAAGGGTATATCAACTTCGGCTCCGTCCGAAGTTAGCTTTCCTTTCTTGTTCATCATATCTTTAATTTTTCATCACAGGAACGGCCAAATCTTTTAATTGCAATCTTTTATCAGTATTAGGAAAATAGAATTTTTATTTATCTAATTTATTGAATATGTGAAACATATTATATTAGCAAATTTATTCTTATTCTGCTCCAATAATTTTTATTTTTATATATAAAATAATATATATATTTTACAAAATATTTATTTCTTTTGCTTATTTAAAAACTGTAATATATTAATTAACTAAGCTTTGCAACAATATTATATATTCTGATATTCTACTTTTTATTTTGGTAACAATTTTTTTTTGGCAGTATTTATTTATTTTAGATTACAATTTTTAAACCACAGAATCTTAAGTAACGTTGTTTACCCGTTGCAAATCCCTTGCAGAATACCTGGCCACCAGCGCCATTCGTGCCCCATTGACCTACGGCGAGTGTGATTCCCACTTCATCACGAAGGTCTTTGAATATCTTTCCACCCGGGGATGGATATTTCCCAGGATCGCAGGCGTTGGAGGCAAGCAGCAGTTGGTCTACGCGGGAAACGTGGCCTGGGGACATATCTGCGCCTATAAGGCCCTGAAAGTGTCCGATAAGGCGGTGAATGGACTGCCCGTTTTCGTCACCGACGACACGGGCATCAACGACGTTTCGCGGTTTGTCCAGAAGATGGCCGTGCTGGGCGAGCGGTTCAAGGTGAAGACCAGCTGGTGGTACGTGCCCCACTTCCTGTTCTTCTTCCTGGCCTTCCTGCTGGAGTTGGTGGTGCGGGTGGCGTATCCCTATACGCAGTACCGCCTCCGCTACTCCCTGCGCGCCCTCGCCTCCTACACCTCCTCGATGCTCATGTACAACCGCCTGCGCGCCTCCATCCACATGGACTACATGCCGCTCTTCGATCCGGATGCGAGTGCCGAGCGGAGTGCCAAGTGGTATGCCCGCTGGTGGGACGAACGGCAGCAGGCCAAAAAGCTCAAGAAGTCCAGCTGAGCGGCGATAAATAGTATGCTATAATATGCTTTCCTGCCCCGCTTGATGTCCTGTAAATATCCTGTTAAATAAAATGGTTGTTGTTCGTTGTACGAAGTCGTATTTTATTTATGCCAATGGGATATCAGCTTAATTGTAAGAAAATTGACAAAACTTAAATTTTGTTTAAGAACGGCAAGACGAAGTTTTAATACCCTTGCAGTCATAACGAAATACATATCGACAGCTATTTGGCACAAACAACTTAAGGATCGATGCAAAAGGACATATCGTTCTTAAGGGAGCTTAAGGATATAGTCGATCGGATAAGAAGATTTTTTAACACGAACAATTCTATTTGGAAAGTTTAATGTTGATAGCGCGAATAAACTTTAAAGAACTATATGGCCAGTATTGCAAATATATGACAGTTATAGGATATAGTTTTCCGATTTTGGTAAAACTCAACTTGTTGGTCCAAAAGGTTTAAAAGCAGAGCGATAGATAAATAACCCATAGGGTTTCAAGAATATCCCAACTTGGAAAACGAGCGGAGTGTCCCCAAAATATAAATAACAAACCAGTAAAAAACTCTTGGACAGCTTATGTTTTTGAACAATGTTCATATTGGTTTATTTATCATTATGAATTAATTTATTTATTTCTCAGTTATTTCATTATAATTTTTATTTTATATATATATATATATTTGTTTGTCTTGGTTTTCTGTTCTTCTTGTTTTTTTGTTGCTCTAGAGCGTTTCTTGCCGTTTGTTTTTTAAACTTATGTACCATTAGCTTAACTTATTATGCCATTATTTAATTTCATTTTTGTTTAAAATCATGTTTTAGTTTTCTGTTCTTTTGTATTTTTTGGTTTTTTTGTTTTGTTTGGTTTGGTTTGGTTTAATATGCGGTTGCTGATCATTGTGGTTGCTGCTGATTCTGCCGATTTCACTGCCGATCTTAACCCGATCGAGGGGATAATGGTGTATCCCCAAGAACCTCATCTTTTCTCCCTGTACGTGGCACATTGTGAACAAAGTGATTTTTAATTTGCTGCTAAAGTTGTTCGCATTTTTGTTGCATATACATATTGCGGGCTGACTGTGTGAGTGGGTGTAAGTGTTTGTGTCTGTATGTGTTCGTGGTGGTAAAATGTGTGAGTGTGTGTTAAAAACTTATGTAATTTTGTGTGCATGCAAAAGAGCAACAATTTGCCCTTTTGTCGTCTGTTATTAAATGTTGCACTTGCTGTTGTTGTCAAGGATGTTGCTGTTGTTGATGGTATTGTTGCTGATGTTGTTGGTGGCCGCCGCATAGTTGTGTTCTTTTCGGTTCGAGGGTCCTTATATATAATTGAATTTCTTTAACCACCGGTTTGCGTGCCTGCCTGTCTGTTTGCTCATCGAATGCTTAACATTACTGAATTTAACTATATGTTTATTTGTTGTTCTTGGTTATATAACTATGTATATATATGTATATATATCATTTTGGGTTTTATTCTCATATATGTATATACGGGCATATTTGCTGTCCTCAGAAAGGTTCTTCGTCCTTTTTGGGGTCTGTCCTCTGTTTAATATATATTTTTTTGTATATATTTCGAATTTTCTTGTCTTGTTTTTTTTTTTGCTTTTTCTCGTAGTAAATATACAAATTCGTTACCGGATTTCTTTATAGAAATGAAAAATGGTTTATTAAATTCTCGTTATGCTTCTATTCATGTGTATGTGTCTACCGCCTTCCGTCCTTTTGTTGCGGTTTCTTGCTGTTAATTATTATGTTTTTACCTTGTATAGTTTGCTGTAAGTGTAGTACTGTACCAGTTTATGTTATGTTTATGCTTATGTACACACATTGGCAATCTCGCATTCCGCATTCCGCATTCCGCATCCGCAATCCAACATTCATCATCAACCCATCCCAATGTGTCCGATTTGAAATCACCCGAACCCATCGCATCCATTCCATCTGGTTTCATTTGTGTTAAAGTATTCGCAATGAAAAGTTGCCAGGGCTCTCGGCTCTGCGGCTTCGTAGACAGTATGTATGTTTAATTGATTCTCTTCCTGCGCTCCTTAATTACTTTACTTACATAATTAGAATACTTACAAACTGGACGCCCTTCTGTGGCGCATTTTATAAATGTATCTTCATCGTCTTGTTGTCTGTCTTGTAGTTGCATATTCATCTGCCGCCTGGTTTTGTCTCTAAAGATTCCTTTGACTTTTATGTGTATAAAGTATTAAAATGATTTCATCTTGCTTGGTTACGCTTTTCTTGTAAATACAATTTTAACGCCACTCACGCCGTTCGCCTTGCCTCAATTATGTATTATTTGTTTTTGGTTTTCCTCATTTTCTTGTATATATTAATATATAATTTTCCATATAGTATAGTGTAAAATATATAAGAGATATTGTCAATATAGTAAAGGTGTTTTGTCAGCAGGAGTTCTGCCACTTCCGACTGACACATTCCTGGGGGGAATTTCTTACTTATAGCAAAAATAGTCAAGTGATCGTTCGTATGAAGGTTCTTTTGTATGTGATCTCCATCGTATATATGGGTGTGCCTGTGTCTGTGTCTGTGGCTGAGTGTGTATGAGTGTGTGTGGTTGTTTATGTGAGTGCCGTGAGGTGTATGTACACATGTCTATAAAAAAAGAACGAAGGATAGAAATGTCTCGTGTGAGTAAAAGGATTGCTATCGTATAAAAGCACGTCAAAGTGTAGAAGGCCCACAAGTCATACTAGTATATCGTAATGCGCCTCTCTCCGCGCTTCTCAAAAATGCGGCTGTCTCTTACTCATCTGTGTGGTTGTGGTTTTTCTTGATTTTGGTTTTGGTAAACAGAAAGTTTCTTCGTTCGTTAGCGCTAGATATTAGTTAAATTGTATTTCATTATAGTAATCTTTATCGTAATTGTAATCGTATTTGTTGATGTTGTTGCTATACTCATACACATAATAAGAACTGATATGTTTGTAAGTCAATAATAAGAGAAAAACGGAAAGCAATTCGTATATGTAACTACGTAACTCCACCTGTACCCAATCCTTATCATCATCTTCTTCAGTTGCCAATTTAAAACTATTTTACATTACTCTTTATGTCTTTTCGTGCCGTGTTTTCATATTTTAGTTTTGGCTTCCTAAACGGCTTCGACCACCAATTGACTTTTTGACCGAAAATTGCGTATAGCTTAAAGTATGGGTTACATTATTTTTAAAAAATCGTTACGGCATACTTTTTTTACAAACAATTCTCCGTTCTCGATATAAAAAACAGAGCCCACTTGTCGAATTCTATAAATTGTTCTCCTTGTTCGTATTATTTATATTTTGTTCAATTTAAAGCTTTTGCGCCTGCGCCGTCGAGCTGTTGCGATCTCATCCTGTATTTCCTGCGCTTCGACGGCGCATCAGTAAAAAAATAATGAAAACTGTTTCTTTTTTGTATTTGTTTGTTTGCTTTTTGTTTTTTTTTTTTGGTTTTTAAAAAATGTTCTTGTTGCTTGTTGTTGTCTTTATGTCTCTGTGCTTGGTTGGTGTTGGAAATTCTCTAATTGACTGAAATTGATTTTGTTACAAGGACGCATTGCTTGTTGTTTCGGTATTCTTTAAGCTGAAGTTGATCCGGTATACCATAGTTATATGTCTTTGATCGGCTACAGCTTCCGCAGAAGATCCTTATAGAATATAGAGCACTACAAAACACAAACAGAAAGCCTAGAGTCGATCGTTAGCGGGGAAATGCTGGGGAAACTTCTAGGAAAGACTCAACATTACACCTAAAGCTGCATCGACTTACAACGTAAACGGACCTGGGATCCAAAGATTATCTAGGGTTCCCTCGCCCCACCTACACCACAAATAATACAGAGTACAAACGATTGCCGGCCCACTGATCATGGATCGGGGCTCTAGTTAAAGAAGTGTAGCATTACAGGCTTAGCTGCCTGCGAAATGATTTCTCCAGAATCAGACTCAGACTAAGACAGTCGATGGTCCGCCTGGCGTTTCAGCTAATCGCTTTCTTTAATATATATATATATCTGGTATGCATGTATATATATTTACGTGTAGGTGTATATATATTTATGTATATTTATATATTGGTGTATATTTTATGTATTCCTTTTTTATGTTTTGTTCAATTTACTTTCGCCTCCTTTACGCTTGTTGTTGTTTTGAATTATTGCTTTTAGAACATGTCTTAAAAATATATTTATTTATATATTTATATATGCCTTAGAAGTAGGTTTAATATATATATATATATATATATTATGCAAATATAACATGTTTGCCGTTGCTGCCGTTCGCTAGCCTCCCCGTTTAAAAATATCTGCCCCGCAGGCTAGAAGCTGCGGCTGGAATACTCCCCAATGACCTCTGACCTGCTAAAGTAATCCGCACCTGATTAAGGTCGCCTTCCGTCCAAACTCCCGATATGCCAGACTGTCAGTGGTCTGATCTTTGTCTATCTAAAATTGAAGATTTCTGTCTTTTCGCTTCCTTAATTTGTTACCTTCGGTTTTTTGATTATTTATATGTGTGATGCACATGGCAAAGTCGCAAGCCGCGATCTTTGGAAAATCTGAAATGATCGGTGTGTGGGGTGGTTGATTTTAAACACTTTGAACGTTAAATGTAGTTTATGTTACACTGCAACTATTTCTTGTCCATCTTTAAATATCGTATATGTTTGCTGTACGGCTTTTGGTTTCGGTTCGCGCGATTTCTCTCTACTATATAGGTTATGTGTAAGTTTGTTGGTCCGAGACTCGACAAAGTCCTGGAGAGCGTTGGTTTGACAATTTGGCAAAAAAGTTATGAAAGGAACATTTTCACTGTTTCGGCATTTGCTTTTGTTTTTCACTGGCTTTCCTCTGCCTCTATTCTGCTGTCTCTGCTTTTGTTTTAGTTGTGTTATTTTTTTTCTGGTTTTCACGTCGCCTAATGCAAAAAATCTCAGACAGACAAAAAGCGCAACGTATTGTTGTTCTGTCAATTATAGAATATTTCCTTTTCTCTGCTATTTTGGTTTTTTGTTTTCTTGGTTTTTTGTTGTTTGCAATTTTCCCCCACTTGCTGTGTGTAACAAATGTTCTTTACTTATCTAGCTGATAGGTTTTGTTTGGTTTGCTTTTCCAATAATTTAATACTCCATATAGTTGTATATAAATATATTTTTCTATTACGCCCCCGATTGCATCGTCGTCGTTATCGTCATAATCCTCAAATACGTCTAGTACATCCATCGTCCGGGCGATTTGCCGGACGGAGCGACTAGAAAAAAATTAATTGCACATTGCGTGGCCTGCATTTCATCGTCATCATGATTTTCATTTCCAATTTTCCTCTTCCATATTTATGGCTCATCTGTGATCCTTTTTACACGCTTGTTTACAGATATATTTAGTTAAGTGTTCAAACATTTGCGATTTTGCGCGTTTGTTTTATAAATATTTTATTTACTTAATCGTACTATATGTTGTATGTATAATAGTTCATTGTTATATTTGCATATGCTCTTACCAAGTAATTTGTTTAAGTGTTTCTTTTTGATTTATCCGTAAGATTTGTGTCCTGTCTGTGTGTGTGTGTGTGTGTGGGTGTTTGCATGTCTGTGTGGGTGTATGTTGTGTATCTTGTATCTCAAAAATTGTGTATTTCTTACATTTTTAGGGAGTTGCTTTTTGCAGTTTTCATTGTTTTGGATTCTCCATTGTTTTTAGCAAATAAATTGATTTATGCCTCGAGCTACGGAAATTCACTCTCTCACTTCGCTTTCATTGTCATATTTAATGCTTTAACATATTTGTCTAACTATCCACTGTTTAATTAGCATTATTTACCATTTTGCTTTCAATGTGAACACAAAAGTTATAGGGTTTTCCTCTACTTTCCCCTGATTCGATTGAAATAATGAGAAAGAGAACTTCAACATAGTTAATAACAAATTGCCTTCGACTTTTGCTCACATTCGCTTTTGTTTCTTTGTTGTTTAATTTGGCCAATAAAGGATTTGTTGTACTTTAAAATAAATTCATAAATATAATTGTAAGCACAATTTTGATTTGATTCACCCCCAACCCAGTCGAGAAATGAAAACTTAGCCCAACCGATTCTTAACATTTTTAAACTCTTACACGCCAGTGTTCTTAAATCGATTATCGTTGAAAGTACAATAACTTGTGGTTGGTTTTCGCGTTTTGATTCAAGTAATTCCCTTTGTATATATTGCATTTTACTTTATGTGTATAAGAGTGTATATTCTTGTATATATATATATATACATATATATCGATTTTAACTTTAAAAGTTACAACTTAGATACGTTAAGAATAGCAATAATAATGGTAATAATAATTTGCCTTTAATAATACGCAATAAATAATAACATTTTCGCTATTATTGCAACATTTTTGCTTTATCTCTTTTCAACTCTATCGTTTTATTAGTAACCCCCTCGCTTTTTTTGTGATTTCCTTTTTTTTTTTGGTTTTTTGCTTTCGTTTGTTGGTTTCTCATTACTTAAAAGTGGTTACGCCCCTTTTGGCCTGGTTGTCATCTGTGGGCGGTGGGCGGTGTGGGTGGAGGCCTCCGATTTTTTGCTGTGTGAGCAGGGCCACGCCCACCCACCGACGCCGCCGCCGCCGCCCACCGCGATGGCACTCCACTCCAGTTGGACGCACAGTTTCCGTTTAATTTGCATTTTAAACGATTTTTGCTGCACACGTTGCATCTTTCGGGGCCGAGCGTTGTTCTTGCCGATGTTGTTGTAGTGGTTGTTAAATTAAAATTAATTTTTTTTGTTTGTGTTCGCTCGTAGTTCGTCCTCATCGTTTTTTTTTTACATTTTTTTCATGTTCTTTTTTTTTTGCCATGCGTTTATATGTACGTATTTGTAATATACGTTAATTAATTAATTATAATATGTGTGTTTGGTTTATTGTTTGTTGCTCTTGCAGTTGTCTCGATTTTTCTTGCTTAACGGATTTCATTTTGCCATGTGGAAATACACAAATATGTAATATGTACTTTATTTGATTTATATTTATATATATGCAGGTATATATAATTTTAAATTATTTTCTTTTGCGCTCTGTGGTTGCAGCACTGCAGTGTGTGTGTGTGTGTCTGTGTGTGTTTGTCTGTCATTTGTTGCTAAAGTTGCTGTTGCATTTGTTGCTCCTGTTGCTGTTGTTAATATTGCTGCTGTTGTTGCTGCTGCTGCTGCCGTTGTTGTTGTTGTTGTTGTCATTGCGGTTGTCGGCGCCACCTTTTAATGGTATCCATTTGTAAATGCCGCAGGAATTAGTGGTCCCTGTAAATAAACGTTTCGTGGAGAACAAAACAAGCAAACACCAAAAATTATTCAAATAAAATGCAATTTTTCGTTGCATATCTACTCACACACATATATGTATGTATTTATATAAGTATAGGTATATAAGTATTGATATATAGAAAGTAAACATTAAGGGGTATACATATATGTACTGAATATAGAGATGAAAGTGGCAAGTTGTCGGAAGAAGAAAAATCGTAATTGTTTTTAATTTTTATTTCGATTGCTAAACAAACAAAGAGAATGCTGGCCAGGCTTGATAAATAAACTAATTGTTTCCTATCTTCAAATTATATTTCATTTATTACATTTCCCTGCTTCTCCTGCAAAAATCCACGAATACGTTTTCCAATATTTTGCATTTAAATTTACTTATCCAAATAATAAAAATAACAAAAATAATTATTAAAAAAATTATTTACTCATATTGCAAGATTTCTTCAAGAATTCAGTTTCTCTAAAACTCATTAAATATCAATAAAATGTTGGCAAAACTTTTTTTTTTATTCGAGCACAAAAACATTAGATACATTTTATTGCGAGTCAGCATTTATTAAAAACCAACTCAACTCCCATAGACTTTGAATTTAAGCTCCACTCTTTTAAAATAGCTCTTCTTTATTTTTCGGAAACTAAAAAACACCTAATTTGATTAAATGTGGAAATTTATTTAATAAAAATGCCCAGAGACTTCCCCTGATTGTCATGTCCTTTATCAAACCTCGCCGACAGCTATGGATAATAAATATGTTTCGATATGATTTATTTTATTTTGCAGCGAGCCAGGGGAATATTGAAATATTGAAGTATGAAAATATTCATATATAATACATATATGGTGTATACAATTTAAATAAATAATAATAGTTTAATTGAAACGGCCTAGAAAACTGTGCTTGTGACGTGCATAAAATAATTTTTACGTTCATTTTGATTTTCTATTTTATTGTAATTTTTTGTTTGACTAGTTGTAGTTAAAAGAATTTGATTGTTAATAATTGAAATCGTTTAGTTGAAAAAAGAAGAGAACACGCTGTAGTTTTGTTGGTGTGCCTACCTTGTGCAACTGCGTTTGTTTTATACTCTTATTTCTTTTGTTTGCTTTCGTTTAGCTTTATTTTATTTGTATTTTTTTCATATATTTTTTCGATTTAAATATATATAATGGGGTTTCTTTTACTTTTTTGCATATCTTTTGTTTTGTTTTTTTGTTCTCTTGCATTTATATTTTTGGGTTATCAGTCTTTTATATATTAGCCATCGCAAAGTTCAACGAATAAATCTGTACGAAATGAAAGAGAAATACATACAATATATAGAAGGATAACGCAATAGTTTAGCTCTACATCGGTAGTCTCTCCTTATCTCTACGGTATGAGTGTGTGGGGTGTGTGTGTGTGAAGGATTCGGGATCGAATCGCTAAACTCGAGACTCTCGCCTCATGTGGGTGTTTCGTATAGCTCGCTTAGTCTCTAGCTCTAAGGTGTCCTGTTCGCAGGATCAAAAGGACGACTCACCGGGCTGTAGTTCAACGGGGCGCGGCTGACGGCGATGGGGAAGCCGGACGGCTGCGGACTGGTGGCCTGCACGTAGCCCACATTGTCGGCGGCCGCCGAGCTGTACATGTCAATGGTCGGGCCGGGGGAGTTGGTCGAGGGGAATCCCTGCCGGGTGGCCGTGTTGGCGGCGGCGGCATGCGGCGATGCCGACGGACCATAGCTGTGGGCGGCCGCAGCAGCCGCCTGATAGTTGTTCATCACTGCAACGGAAAGGAACAGAAATTACATTTAGAAAAGTACTCTTCAATTATCTGTCTAAGTTTTTCAGAAAAATTTCAGTTGCTAATGGCATTTCGTTTAACTTTTCCATTGACAAATCAAAGTAATTGTAATTAATATAATATTAAAAGAACTAAAAGCCAGGACCAAAATGGTTACATATTAAAGTCAATAAATGTATTTAAACTCTCAGTCGAAATGCTAATATAGGCAACAGTACGTATGCGTGATGTTATCTCTTTAGGCAATCATATGTTTAGATTTTTGATGTTATGATTTAAATAAATAGCATTTAAATATAAAATAATTTAGCCATGGGTATTTTAAATTGGTTTTCTTGGCTTGGCTGCATCTTATTAATAGCAATTATAATTTTAAGCAATAATTAATAAGTCAAATCAGACCAACAACGATTGCCAAATAAAAATTAATGATATTTACTTTAAGTTCGAACATGATTGACGGACATTTGTGTGTCTACAAATACAGTAAATAGTCAAATGACGACTTTTGAATACCGATTTATATTCATGGACCTTAGGTGGATGGCTACCAAGCCTGATGTTCCAGGCATAACTTAATTTTTTCCGAGCAAATTTAGCACCTGGAAACGGGGTCACTCACCTGACAGCGCCTGGGTCAGCAGCGGTGTATTGTTGTTGGGTGTCAGCTGCCCATTGGATAGATCAACTGTAAGTGGCAAAAGAGGGCGAGAGGGGCGTCATTAGTGGGGGCGGGCTGGCTGGTGGTGGATCGTAACTAGGCGAGTAAAAGTCGGGCACATATAGGAGGTGCACGCGACACAAGAGTATACGAAAGTAATCAAGGCTGAGTTCTAAGGGTATGGGCTTAGGTACGGGAACGGGAACGGGAACATGTACGAAACAGAGTTGGGGATCGAGTATATATACTTATATATAGTGGGTATGGAGTGAGAGTATTCGAGTATGCGATTGTTATACATGTGGCTATAGCTCTGTTATATCGGTGTGCCGAGGAAGCAAACAATCAAAAGCGAAAGTAAACAACTCTAACTAGTCCCAGAACAACTACGATGCCAAACGCAAACACAAAAGACGAACCAAAGAGCGAAAGGAAATACATATATAAAGTATAAATGGATGTCTGGGAGGCGGGGGTTTTTTGGAAGGAAGCGCTAACTGGAACGCAGGTTATGAAAACACAAAGTGCTCGGTTATTAAACGAGCTTTGGGGAGAGGATGTTGACGCTACAGTGACAAAACAAAGCCAAAGCCAAACTAAACCAAACCAAACCAATCCGAACCCATCCAAACTCAGTTACTACGCTTGGTTTGCCCAGTGATGTGCACTTTCCTTTGGGCGCTCCAGCTCGCTTTTCCCTGATTTTCCCCCATTTTTCCCCACGTTTTTTTTGTCCCCCGTTATCATTGTTATCGTGTTTCTCTTTTTTTGTGTGTGGCAGTTCTCCCTTGTTATGGTCACAGCTGCAGCAGCAAGTAAAAATACGCCAGCGCCAATATTGAAATGACAACAGAATGCGAATGTGAATGAAGGCGAGCGAAAAAATGGGTAACGGGTTATGGCTGGGATCGGAATAGGGATATAGTGGGAATCTGGGGCGTGGGAGGAAACGTAGCAGTTGCATTTCCTGCGGAAACACAAAAATTGATGTAACGTAACGTGACGTAACGTAACGAGGCATGTCCCTGGCAGTCGTTTATTGTAACCCCCACATCACCCATTTCCTTACCCATTCCCCACCCACAACCCCATCATCCCTACGACCTTCCTCATCGCCGTTGTGCGTTTTATGGCGCCAATCAACTTTGGCTTACGTTTAGTTTACGTTTTTGTGCGAAATCTCGGTGCGCCATGTTGTTTTCATTAGTGTTGAGTCTGGGACTGCGTTACAAAGAAGCGCCCGAAAACCCAGATCTGAACACGGACCAAAATAAAAAGCCCGTAAAAGCAGCAGCAGTTGCAATAGCAGGAAGGGTTGCCTTTTGTAAATAAATAACTTATTTAGCCGGGGTTTTTTTTCGGGCTACCCCATTGCATGAAATGCGTTTCCGCCGGGGCTGGGGTACGTACTGGATTGGTTGTGGGTTTGTGGGAAAATTGCAATTGTCAGACTTGCGGTTGCGGAAAAACAACTGTTACCAGCTGTCGACCTGGCAACCCTGTTACGGCCACAATAAAAAGGTTAAATTGAGACATTTCAACAAACAAAATCGGTCAACAGAAGACATTTACATGATCACGATACTACACAGTTTCGAATAAAGTTATTTTCCGGGGGGAGGGGAATTTATATTAAAACTAGAGTATACATAAAAATTGATACTTATATAAGTGGGGTTATACATGTTGTCTGGTTACAGCTGTTCGCTACTAATGAGTGTGTTACATGATACATTTATTGTTAAATTAAATGCTATTTCGAGCTACTTTTTCGTCCGACGCTGGAACTAATTTGGTATTGTTAGTTTTTGATGTGTGTTAAATGTTTTATAAAACAAAGTTTCTCAAACAGAAGAACACTACACAGAAATATATATGTTTTTCAACTACGACTGGCGCCCAACGTGGGGCATTCAGTTTACAATTTTGTGTGTTTTTATTGCTCTCTTTGCTAAAACTTTTTCTATCATCTAACAGTTTACATACAGTTAATAATCGTAAAATGTGAAAATTTGTTCGGATATGGAGCCAAAAACGGTTATAGATTCAATATAAAGATGAATATACGTATATAAAAAGAGTATAATGCTTGTACGAATATGCATTGGAACTATAAGACGACCATTAGCTGACCTTGTTGACTGAGGAGTGGTGTTCGAGTGGTTGCTGTTGTTCTGGCTGTTCTGCTTGTTGCTGCTGCTTCTCTTGTTGCCGCCTTGTCCTTGCCAAGTTGCTGTCAGAATATTACGCATACGCCCCGATGGCCACTTTGTCACTCACTTGGCCCCGTCAATTCCACTCCCATCGAATTGCTAATAATCGGGGTTATGGAAGCCAATGCTTCAGGCCCCAAAAGGATAGACTTTTGCTTGGGTTTTTTGGTTGCGGCTTTGCATCCGTATTTATTTTATTTTCACTTTATTTATCTTAGTTTTGTGCATTTATTTAGTTAATAACCTTTCGTTTTCCATTTCGAATTCGATATCGTTTCTGCGCAAGCAAATGGTTTTCTTGTTCTCGTTTGAAGCGTTTTCATATAAATCACAGTATATACGTGTAAAATACATATTGGAATATGCGTGGGTGTGTGTGTGTTCATGTCTGTGTTTGCTATATAGGTTTTGTAAATAACTCGCAAGCGTTTGGTAATTGTCAATTTAAATAGTTGCAAAATACCTAGAAGCATTTCCTGGGCATCCGGATGCCACAGAGTTGCGATAATTGCATTCAATTAACTAGTAACAGCTTATCAATCTATATAGAGTTATTGACCAATTTTTTTTGTATTAGGTTCGAGAGAGTGTGTGTGTGTTTAAATAGCTAAGTGTGTGTGTGGGTGAGACTTACATGGAGAAGACATAGAAAAATTGGATTTTTCATCAACATAAAAAAGATTTGTTGTCTTTGATTTTTGGTTTTTTGTTTGTTTTTTTTTTGGCGCTGCTAAGTTGCTCTTCGAAAATGGATGGACATTAATATTGTATTTTTCGGTATTGTACAAATCAAATCGATTCACCCTTCGTATAAAATGAATACTCAACTTAGCTTGTAAACGTCGTATATTAAATATGTATATATAAATATTCATGTATATAAGGTATAGTATATAGGTAAGAATATAGTAATGTCTATATGTACTTTAAATAGAAATGTCGAAAAATTTCGATCGTTTTTTTGTTGTTAGCCATTTTGGAATTCTTGCGATGCACCGATGAAGGAAGGAATTTATATAGTTTTGAATGCTTCAAGGCTTCAATTCGTATGTGGGCCAAATGCGGTTTGCTAATACATATGAAACGGAATAACACAGCTACGGATAATGGGCAAATCTACTAATTAATGAACTTTAGCTATGGCAAAAATCTCTGCACGTTTGCTAATTATCTAAAAACTCATGGGACCACCGACAACAACGGAAGCAAAAACAAAAATGGACTGGGAAATGGATATGGAAAGCGCTGTGGAAAAAGAAAAAATTGCATACATAATGTGCAGCAAATTAATTAAAGGATAATAATGGCACTACATGTGACAGGCCTGCTAAAATTTGTTGTTATCTAAATGTTTTTCCATGTGCACTTTCGCTGTTGTTGTGGGGGTAGCAACTAATTTATGCATACAGGGACTACAAATGAAATTTGCATTTAAATGCTACGGTAAAATAGTTTTATAAATAATAGATATGCGTCCCTGAAACGGGAAACAAATGGAGGCAGGTCGGGGTGTCAAAAAGCGGTATATATTTATACTTTTGAGTGGGTGAGGAGCGTATGAAGATCGAGTATAGTTCGCTATAAAGTTTCGTTATACAAGTATTGTGTCACATTTCTAATTGGGGATCTAGAGACAGAGTATTAAAGTGTACGCATGTCTGTGAGTATTTGAGTGATTATGCTGGCCTAGATCTAAACGATTCTAATTACTCGATTACATCCGATTACGGAACTGCACTAGGATTGGTTATTACAGGTGCTATCTGTTCTATAGATACGTAAATATGGGTAGTACAAGTTGGGGATGCCTCTAGACACTACTGATACTGTTGCGGTAATTGGTTAACTGCTCCAACAATATATGGGGAATACTTTTTCGGGAGAGTCTAGTACGTAAGTTTGTGTGTGTCAGCTATATAGACTGCAGCTCTAAAAGTGTGTTACATGTTCTATGTAGTTCTTATCAAATCTCTCGTTAGTTCATCGCTCTTTCGCGCAACTTTTGAGTGTTTCCGTGTTTTGTTTTTTGCAGTGGATTTTACTTTGGTTGTTGCAGTGGTTACCAGTTACCGTAGATATAAGCTAAACTAACGCTCTGGGTTGCATATCTCTTCCAGCTGCGGTTGGCTTTGGAGTTGTAATGGCTGTACCTACTTGTCACCGTTCGAATGATATAGTTACTTGACACAGAAAAAGGGCGGCAATGAAAACGGAACTCTGGATCTCACATTCTCATTAGCATTCTCAATTCTCAATCTCAATCTCAGACTTGTGCGATTTGATTCGATTCGATTCGGTTCGTTTTAGTTCGGTTCTCGTTTAGAAATTTATGTTGCCCAGAAACTGCGATTTGATGGCCGCGGATCGAGCCGTGAGCGCCGTGGCGAGCGGCAGGGTCAGCGCCTGTTGGTGGTACGCCGACTGGGCGTGGCCAGGGGCGCCACCCGAGGGGGCAACACCCGCCGCCGCAACAGCAGAGGCGGCGCCAGCGGGGGCAGCTCTGCTGCGGCCCGGGGCAGCGCTACAAGCGGTACCGTAACTTCTACCGATGCCGCAAATTGTCAAGCCTACAAAATCATACGAGATACAAGATAGATGAAGACAGAGATAGACAGAGAGAGGGGCAAACAGAAAGGTACAGTCTGCACCAGAGCTTAAAGCTGTAAAACTATCGATTGTTAAAAGGTTTAACTAATAAATTAAATAAATAAGCTTTTTAAAAATATTAGCTTTCGGCTCGCTGGAAAATATATAGCCTTAGCCCTAAGAGAGAAATAGAATTCTTTGATATTATTTCGATTGAATCTAGCAATTTAACTTTGCCATCTTCTACGTTGTCAAAATGTGTTATTATTTTCTGGATGAAACTAAAGTTATTAACTTGCAAAAGGGTTTTGCCCATTATTAAAGATTTATATATAAGCCAATTTTCCTTTTCCAGGTTGGTTTAAAGATCGACTTATATTTGTTTTGGGGCTTGATAAAAAATATTTTTTTAGCCTTAAATATGTAAATCTTGTTTTATATGAAATTAAGAACAAGGTATCTTTCATTTTTTAACAGGTTAAAAAATTAGCTCAATCGATTGTTTTGATAACCCGATCGATAGTTTTAGAGTTTCAACTCAGGCAGAGGGTTTTTGGGGGCAGGGAATTAATTCACATCAGCTAAAAGCCCTAGTAGCCAGTGTTGGATCAGTGTGTTCTATGGTGGGCAAATGATAAACTCAAGGCCAAGCAGCGTCAATGACATACATCTGCAGGATGCGCAGGACTCAATTCTAGGGGATTCTAGATATCGTATGTGGCGGCTTATGGTGTGAGTGTTTTCAATAGTTTCCGATCTTCAGCTATTTGTGCATTGATATGACGAACGCTTTGGTATTTATTTTTTTTGGAAAACAGTGATTTATTTCTTTAATGATCATGATCTCTGAGTAATACTCGATAGATAGTCATTGGGCTGGGGATCGTCCTAGGCCATGTAGTCGCCAATCAGTATCCGATTCTCCGGCACTACGCCCATCACACCCGCTGCAAAGCAAACACAAAGACAGAAGAAAAATAATAAAGAGTGTGGCAAGCGAAACGGAAATAAACATAGATGTTTGATTGTATCTGGTGATGAAAAAGACACGAATCGAGCGAAAACATCGAGGGCCAACGAATCGTCACAAGTACTAGTTGAGTTAGTAATGCTAATGGTTGTTATCGCGGGGCCTTTCGTCATATCAAGTGGCACAAATTGTTCGTTTGGGGGGTTTTCAATGGGGGTAATGTTTGGTTTTAGTCACTGGGGTTGCTTCACACTCTCACTCACATACAAATAATGAACAGGGGCTGAGATGTGCGAGTATGTGTGCAGGTTCAGGTGTGTGTGTGGGTGTCTCTGTGCTTGTGTCTATGTGGGTGTGATCCGCACTTACCAGTTGGATAGGGCAGTCCAAAACTGGGATAGCCCGAATATCCGCGACCAGCGGCATAGGCAGCATAGGCAGCTGCCGGAAAACCTATTCAGAAATATAGAAAAAGTATACGTTAACTTCTGTATGTATTTACTTCCAGTTCATTAGCAATTCTCACCTTCGGGCAATGTCCCCAGTCCCCACATGATGTTATCTAAGGGAGTCGCATGGAAAACAAGAGAGAGCACAGAAAAGAAAGGCATAAAACAGATAATTACTGACACTCACACGATTATATCAGAGCTAATGAATTCAAACAAAAGAGTATCGAGATTATATCAGGACTAATTGTTATAGAGTGTAAATATGAGCGACTGCTTTACTATAATCGTTGTGTACTTAAAGTTCTAGTGAAGTGTGAGTGGCAACTAAAAAACTGCCGCTATATACTAGATATATATGTTTTGAGTTCTAAGAAATTTTCTGCGACTGCACTCGATTCGATTTTTTTCAGTGCATAACTAGTGGGGCAATGGGTTCTGCCCCGTTCGTAGTTATTTTCTGCATTAACAGCCTTTGTTTGAGCTATGTTTATATAGAGTTATATATAGAGTTACATTTGTTCGATATACCGTAGATATGACAAAATTCTAAACACTTATTAGATATGTACGTAGTTATAATCTAAGACATTTAGTATCTATGCTATGAGTATAAATTTGAGTAATTTTGCTAAAAATAAATCTTTTAATTGTAATCTTTAAGTGGGGGCAATTCTAAGGCCTGCCGTTGTGCATTTCTACAAAAATGCTCCATATCTCCAGGCCATTGCCCCGCACGGCAACTAATTTTTAAGGATAGTAAAAGAAAGTATAATTCAAATTGGAACTAAACACCCAAAACTATAAATATGTGGGCTAGATAAACACTACAACTCAAGGGGAGAATATAGGAAGGTTGACAGCTATTAGATGTTAATCAAGGAATTTGTATAAATTTTGCTTCGGCCTGTGGTCATTTTCGCTCCGCTTTTCCGGCATTTTCTCAGCACTTTCTCGGCCATTTCTCTGGCTTTCCCCATCACTTTCTCTGTCTCGTTCGTTCATCTTGGGCATCGAAGGGCTGACAGTCGGCTCGTTTCCTGTATTTGAATATCATCTCTCGCTTGTTGCAACTTAGGCTAATGTTACACTGGATTTAACTAGAGTTGAATTTGAGTTTGATTCGAATTTGAATTTGAATTTGAATTTGAGCGCTTAATGCGCTTATCGTAATGCAATAGATGTGTGTATGTGGTTATTTATGCATGTATAATAAATAGCTAGTTTCGAGTTTAGTCAAATATTAATGGCTATGGGCAAACAATATGTGTTTGTACGTAAGTACTCGAACTGGGAGACGACGGGGGGGTCAGCTGGGGGAGTTGGCCATCAGCTGTCTGGGCCGTAATTTGCCTGGGCCCTGTAATTGGCCCGAGTGCATTGCACATCCATTATCCATGATCCATTTCGGAAAATTACACTCCGACAGCTGTCCGGCCGCTACACTGGCATCTGCCCAGTCCGGTCATCAATTTTTCAAAACTAAACTTCGTTACACACATCGCATTTCTAGTACTTGCTTGGCCTCCTTCGGCTGGTTTACTTAATCCAACTTAATCGCTAATTCGATACATTTGCTAGGTTTGAATCCGATTCGCTTTCGGCTGCGGTTCTAGATAAATACGCCTTTAAACAGCTATTGATATGAGTTTACGTATAAGTTGTAAGAAAATGTTCGATATACAAGAGAATCCGTTTCAAAACATAAATGAGTGTGTCCTATGGAGCTGATGACTTTTTTTTGTTTTTAATTTAAAACATTGTTCGTTTTTGTTACATTCTTAAGTACTAGAAAAGTCGCCAGGTGTCTAAGACACATTACGATCGCCGTCTAAGGTCTAAGATTATCGATGGCCTCGATAAAATCTAAGCAGCTCTCTAGGACCTGCACTTAGCCTAGATATAAGTATGTATCTTAAGTAAGTCAAGTTCGCTTAATGTCTAAAGAAAGAAAACGAATGCGCCGCTATTCAAGTAATTTAGTTAAATAACGCATACGCCGCGTGGCCTAAACGCAGCTTAGACAGTCACAAAATATAAGTTACGATATATATAGTACATATGGCATAAGTAAGTACATGGCTAATTGTATGTAGAAGTACACGTAATCCTAGGCCTAGCCGCTTAACATATTTTTTGGACATTGAGACGGAATGAGAGTCATATATATAGGTGTAGTCGAGTGTGTTGTGTCTTGTGGGAGTGTTTTTCTTGTGGGTTAGGGATAGCCAGTTTGCACTATCATCAGATAGTTGAAGTTTGGGAACAGCTCTTAAATGTTTTGCAGCCTTAAAGGGTTTGTAAAGCCATCTGGATTTTAACTTAATTGAATTAAAATTAAGTTCAATAAAGAAATAAACAAAAGCCAAAAAACTGCATATTTTATCAAGCCATTAATTAAAGTCTAATCACAAATCAACACATTTTTGTGGTCTTATGAAACAAAAATTGCTTAATAAGATTTCCCATTTTACTCTTTTCTCAACATATATTTTCTTGTTTAAATTGAAACTAAATCGTGCTAATCGAAGTCTTTTAAAACACTATATTGATTTTTTTTAACTTTAAAGCGTTAGAAACTGATTTACGTTACTGGCTTAAAAAAATTTAGCTATCAAAAAAGTTGAATTTTTCGTGGTCTACTTCAATAATAAATTTGACAAACACAAACCTAAAAATGTTTTTTTATATTTAACAAAAAAGCAAAACAATTTAAAAGTTTAAAATATTTTTGGATGAATACGTTAATACACTCCAACCAATGGCTTTAAAAGTAATGAAGTTTGTGTTGCCAGTAGTTGAAAATCAATGGCGTTGGGAAATCTAGCTTTTCAAATAAGCATAGTTTTGCCTAAATATCGTTAGATATTGAAAGTAATAGATTTGGGGAGCTGCTTCTTGAAGATCAGAGCTTTGAATTTGGCACAGGATTTTAAAGACTGAAATTTGATTGTAGTCTATTAAAAAGACATTGCTTAGAGGGCTCACTGTGGCCTGGGTGGTCAGATTCCGGGCAGCTGGTACAGCGAGGCCGCCGCTGCCGCCGCGGAATTGGCGCCCGAGCCCATCTCCATGCCGCCCTGCATGGCGAGCAGTTCGCTGAGCGGATAGTGGGCGGCGGCCAGAGCGGCGTTCTGGCGCAACTGAGCGTGCTGCAGCTGGGCGGCGGCGGCGGCAGCGGGTGCATTGGCGGCGGCCGCCTGCAGTGCTCCCAGAGCGGTACTCGGCGGAGCACGGAGACCGCTGCTGACCGCCGCCGCTGCCAGCAGTCGCTTGTAGCCGACGACGGCGGCCGCATCCGCGTAGAGCGAATTGGCCAGGGCGGCATTGCTCTGCCCCGCCGCAAATTGCAGCAAAGAGGGCGTGGCAGGCGGAGCGGAATTGGCCAGCGGTAGCAGGCCCGGAGCAGCTCCAGCGGCAGCGGCCACCACTTGGGCCAAACTCTGCTGCTGTTGTTGGTGTTGGGCGGCCACGGCCTGCTGTTGTTGCTGCTGCTGCTGATGTTGCTGGTGTTGCTGTTGGGCGGCAACAACCGCTGCCGCCGACAGGTGGGCGGGCAGGGGATAGGGCGTGTACCGCAGCGAGCTAAGCAACTGGCTGGTGTGGTGGGCGTGGGTGTGGGCGTGGGCGTGGCTGTGGGCGGGTGACTGAGAGTGTGAATGTGTGTGGTGCAGCTGCTGGTGATGCTGATGCTGCTGCTGCTGTTGCTGCTGCTGTTGGTGGTGGTGCTGCTGCTGCAGCACGGAGGCGGCAGCGGCAAAACTACTCGGCAGCAGACCGGCGGCGGATGAGGCCGCCGTCGAATGGGCGTGGCTGCTGCCCCAGACTACCAACTCACCGTATGCGGAGCGCCCGGCAGCCCGCGTCTTGGCCAGGTTGGCCGGCAGCATCACCTCCTTCGGCTGCGCCTTCTTGCACTCGACCTGAAAGCACAGGACAAGAATAAACCATAATCAGCATTTGCTTTTTATCTTAAAGTAAATATTTAAATATTTGTATTTGGCTTTTCTTTTAAACACACCAAGGCTAACTAATATTGATCTACAATGTTTTTAATATAAGTAACTTTAACAATTAAATAATTAAATATGGCATACAAAAGTCAGTTGTAAAAATAAATAAATATTTTCGATTTTGAAAAGAAAATTAACAAGCAGGCTTAGAGATTTAAATTTTGTATTTTGGCTTTCAGGCAGCCTAATAAATATTACTTTAATATTTTCTAGGAAATATGAGACAATTTCGCTACAATAAAATCACAAATTGATGTCCAATTTAGGGCAGTATTTTTCTCGGTATGACCAAATAAAAACTAAAAGCTGAGGAGGAGGCAAATCCTGCGATTCAGACCGCCACGCTTCACTTACCATTTTGTTGTTTATCTCGTGGAAATGAATTTCGCAAACTTTGTCTACCACATCTTCGCTTTGAAATGTAACGAAGCCAAAACCTGCAAGAGAAAAGAAGCGAGAAGTGAGTGAGTGGGAGTGGGTAAAAAAGTTTAAGGGCTGCAAAAATTGAACGAAATATGCTTTTGTGTGAGCGAGCGGCTAAATAATTTACTCAAGTGTCGAGACCGAGACAGAGGCGGTGCTCACCCCTTGACCCCGCCTATCCTCCTACCCCCCTCCCCCCACCTCCGCACCCCATCGTTTCAGGCCAGGATAGCTGTCCTCCGGCTGACCTCAATATGCATCCCCTGCAGTGCCTCAAGTGGCGGCTGGGCGAGTAATTCAAACACTGGCCGCTCCGAGTTTACATAATAAACTTTGCCAGCGGACACAGCTAAGGGCCCCGCCTCAATCCGCCCCTTTAACCCCCTTAACCTCCCCCTCCCCCACGACCGCCTTGGGATCGGGCATAATAACTTTGTCCTAATGGCTGGACAGTGGAGCTATTTTTGATATCTTCCAATTGGAGGCTGACGAAGAACTTAAATTTCTGGAATGTCAAGTCATTCGGGTGGGGTATTTTACGGTCCGAATTGGGAAAGGATTTATTATGGCTTAATTAAATTTCTTCCATTTGTTGCCGCTGCAATTTGTGCTAGGGGAAAGTTTAAGTTGCTTGATTTTCTTTCACCAAGAAGTTTTCACTGGAGTGGATACCATTATAGTTATTTTTATTTTTGGTTTCATCTAGGGACTTGCAATCTTTACTTGCGTAAATAAAAGTTAAAATTTATAAAGAATTTTTCATGTTAACTTTTCACATGATTCTGTTTTATTATCTTTAATCACTACCAAAAACGATAGGGGTTTACATCATAAGTAAAGAAAAAAACAGAAAAAAGCCTATCTATGAAATAAAATATTTTAGATCTGTTGACTTTATTTTAATAGATTTTTGAATTGCATTTTTTGTACACAATTTCTTGGTCACAAAATTAGTAATAGTAGGAGTAGAATTTGTAAAATATTTCTTTACTTAGTAAAATCAGGATAGAAGAGGGTAGGGCTTAAATACAACCTTTGCATATGAAATTTTTTTTAAAACCCTTACTCCTTGAAAGTAGCTAAAGAAAGCAACTTCCTATCAGATTGGGTCCTGAAAAATTCCCTTTCAGGCTTTCGCTGTGCCCTCGCTATCCGCTTAATGCTCCGCTTTCTTGCGTTTTCCTCCAATTTTCCTCCCTACGATTTCACCACTTCGCTCTTATCGGGACTTTTCAATTAGCGCAATTGTCTGAGATTTCACATGGCCGAAAAAGGAGGGCTCTCTCTGTGCAATTAGCAAGGCCAAGTGCAGACACCTGATGCCCCGGCGCCCGCATGTTGTTTGTGTACGTGTGTTTGCCTTGTCGTGCGGGCGGGGGCGTGGCCAAGCTGGGCGTAACTGACAAATTAGTTGAAACAAGTAACAGTAAACACGCAGGCTTATTAGCGACATGTGCCGAGCGGCAGAAGCTCCGAGGTCCTTTTTTCTTAAGACAACGTGCGGGCTGCTTCCTCAGCGTCCTGGAGTGTGTTTGTGTTTGCTTTAATTATATAAAATTAGCGCACGTTGCAATGTTGCACGTAAAGCTACACGGCAAAACCAAAATGTTGTAACTAGATGACCACTGGTTAAATAGTAGTATCACATTTTAGCTGGAGCTATACTGAGATGTACAAAAATATTAAAATATTTCCATATATTGGCAAAACAAATAGTTTTATAAATTTAAAAATTTTTTTATTATTACTATTTCATTTCATAAAAGAATGCTTTTACAACTTGACAGATTTTCTGTGTCTTGTTTTTAGGGCAAACTATTTTTTGTATTCTATTTAAGTTTATAAAATAGTGATTTCAATGTCTTCAAATTTGTTCTTTAAGGCCAAATTAGAGTTTGCTTTTTATTCATCCAAAAACGTAGATCTTTTTTAAAATGCCATTAAAGACTCCTATTTTTTTCTGTGTCCCCTGGGCTTCTTTGGGTCTTTTTCTATTCCGGTGCAACTTCATAAATCAGCCGTGGAACAAATGAAGCCGACTATTTTCGGTGTGCTCCACGCTCCACACGTAACTCAATCAAAAATGTATCTGCTGGATACAAATGCGCCCGGGTAGCATGAGGAATGAGGCAATGCTCGTTGCCCAGTTAATTCCGTGGCTTGAGGCTTATGGCTCCGAGGTGAGTCTGAGTTTTGAGCCCGTCCGCCATTTTTACCTGTCGAAAATTTCCCGCAGGACGGAGCGTTGGAGCGCTGGAGCGATAGGAGCTGACGATGGTCTTGGCAACTGCAAAAATTGCACACTCATGCATGTTATTGCCAAGAAGCGGACACAGATATATGCTCTAGGCGGCGTTGGGCAGAGGGGGGAGGGGGATAGGGGGAGGACCCAAAGCCAGCTGCTGTTATGACTGCGCTGTGCCGGCTTGCCAAAAAGAAAAATTACAAAATTTTCAATTTTAATATTAGTGGCGGCTGGCGACGCCAACTGCCAAGCAGGCCCCCAAAAGTTCCCGATCCCCTGCACCACCCACCCGACCAAAACTACCCCTACAACCCCTAATCCCCGCCCAAACACCCACCCACCAACCCACCCACAACGGCCTGCTTAGGCGCACGTTGGGCATGTCCTTGGCTTGCCAAATGAAATTCATAGCATAGTTTGGGTCGCAGCTCGGCTGTTGTGAACTCTATATTTGCACAGGGAAGATTGCTCAAGGGGGAAATTTAATAAAGACTTTAAAATCTTGCAGCTAACTTATTTTAACTTAATTTCATATTCTAAAAACAGAATTTTGTGTTAAAATTGCATTCATTTATTCAGTACCGTTTAAAGGACTGATCAAAATATTAAAGCCCTATTAAAAATGAATGTTATTATATTAATACGCATATTATATTAATGTTTTAAGGCAGTTTTTAATTTTCGTTATGTTGACATTTTATTAAAATAACTTTGCTAATTAATTACAACATATTCACAGAAATCTGATTAAGGGGTTTATATGTTTTCGTGATGAAAGACTTTACTCATTTCTTTTAAATTAATAAATAATTTCATATATGTACATTATCTATAAGACCCTAGTAGCTTAAATTATTCTTTTGGTATAAGGCTTACAAAAAATGGCTGAATCTTTCAATTAAACATTTCAGTAAGACTTCAGTATTTTGTAAATCTTTGAATTAAATTTTGTTAGCGTTCCCCTTAGCGAATCTCAACTGTAATTGCAATTGCCTTCGCCCGCGTTCTTGTCATCCCCGTTGTTGTTATTGCTGTTTGGGCCTGCCTATATTGTTTTATGGCATATTCATATATCGCTTCCTATATATTGTTATTTTTTACCCATATGAAACGGTTGTAGTTCTGGGCCAACTGCCACCGCTCTTGTTAGCTGGAAAACGCCGCTGCAATTTTCAGTGACCAGGCTCACGGATATATGAGTGTTTTTCAGTTTGGGTGTTTTGTGCCACCATGTTGGAATGTCTGTCTATTTGTCTATCTGTCTATATGTCCGCTCGTCGGTGTGTGTGTGTGTATGTGTGTGTGTGTCGCTGGGCTGCACACATGATTTATGAATGAGTAACAAACTTGCTGCCGTGTAGCCGGAGCAACGACGTCTTTTCCACTTTTCTTTTTCTTTTTTTTCTCTTGCCCCTTCTTTATTATAGTTTGTGTGTGTGTGTATGTGTACGTGGCAATTGCCATATATAGGGGGCTCTCGGATCGGATCGATAAAATGCAATTACAGGCATATCGCAAGTGCCAGTAGGCAACGGACTCCGACTCCTCATGGCAATAAGGTCGTACATCGTACATTGTACATCGTCCGACTGTACAAAAAGTCGCCATCGTTGTCCTCGTCCTCGTCCTCGTCGTCGTCCTGGTACTCCTGACCCCATCCCTCTCCTCCTGGTCGTGGCAATGAAGGCTCCTGCTACAACTAATACCCTTTGATTAACGACACACATTTTCTATTGAGTTGGCCGCTGGTCGCTGGTCGCCTGTGAAGTTGGGCAGTTGGCTTTTACCGCTCGCCACAGCGGCAACAACAACGCCTGCATATTTCATCCGGCGATCGATGCACGCAATTGTAATTTGCAAGGCTGACATGTCCCGGCCAGAATGAATTGCTTAGCCAATGGGTCGTGTCAGTGGCTAAACTGTCCACCGAATGCATTTTTAATTGGAAAATTGGCAAATCACAAATTCGCCAAGGCAGGTAATTTGTGCAAATTTTCTTCAAGTGGTTTCCCAGGGCCAACTGTAATGGCTCAAAGCGTTTGACTCAATGGGCTTTCGATTTTCGTGCTTTTGTCCCTCAGTTTATACAATTAGCCTATATTCATTTTATATAAACCACTTTAAAGGGTTTTAAGTTGGTTTGAATACCCAAAACAAAAGCAAGAATTATGAGTACTTCTGTGAGTAAAAATTTCCATTAATGCATTTTTTATTGAAAAATTAAGAAGGAAAAAAAACGGTCGGAAATTCGTTAACAATTTGTGAAACTCATTTATTTATCTCATTATTGCAGCTTGGTCCCCGAGTGCCTAAATCTTTGATGTGATGGCTGGGCGTCCTTCACATTATTTTTTAAATGCCTCATATTTGTTTTTATTGGCTGCCGACGCCGCTGCCTACGCTTCGTTTCATTTTTGTGTATGTATGTATGACTGCATCATCATGCAGTTTCAGCGTACTCCAGCGTCCAATTAAGCAAAATGTTCTGTGGGCCCACGGCTCTATCTCTGTAGAACCCCCCTCCTCCCCCATCACCCTTTTTCGCAGCCCACTCTTCTTTTTTTGCGCTTATCTGCGATGCGGCGCACAGAAGTATGCTACAATTTTTTATGGGCCGCGCACAAGCAAAAATCATGTTTTCTTATTCCCGTGTGCGTAATTTGAAGGGCGCAAAAGTTAACAATGTCCGGTGGTGCGGGGGTGGGTCAGGGGGTGGATAAGGGGGTGGTGGATTCCGGGCAAGTGGCGGAATGATTGTGCACCAACAACTATTGATGCATGCTGCTGCTCGTATCCGTGTGAGCTAATTACTTTTCAGCCAGTGGCAAGGACCTCTGTGGTTGTGGGGCACCTCAGTGTGTGTGTTTCTGGTTTGTGCAAAATTGGGCCCATCAATCTTAATGCGCCGTGTCTCAGGTTGTACTTGGATCCCCGATAGGACACATCTCCTGCCAGAGGGACATGTCAATGGGATTCGAGACCCGGTCGCAATGCGAAATTCGGGGCGTCATTTAAAACTTTAATAAGCAAAATTGACAACGACAAGGCTTCCGACGACACACCAGGACCCGAAATGGTCACGCACTGGGGAAAAAGCCGCCAAAAATGATCCCAAAAGTAAGCCTTTGGTTTCAGGATGAAAACAAATGGGCTAATTATATTTTATTGTAATTATTTTATTTTTTAATCTGCGATTATTTCTTTGAGTACTTTCCAATGTTCGCAGGTTTTCTTATCCGTTATGGGGTATACTTTGAAATATGTTTTGTTGTCAGCAGAATTATTTAGTTATACTCATAATTTAAATCCAATTTATATATAATATATATATAAATTTGATGTACAGATTTTAATGCAATACTGTTATGTTTTTTTCAGGATAAGCATTATATCCACATAATAGTAGTAAAAGTGCCGTTTCTTTTGCCGCTCCTTTACCCTGTTCCGGCTTTCAGGATTTGTGATATAACACGTCTTTTTTAGCAGTGTAATGGCAAGCCGGACATTCTGACAGCCGGTCGGATGCCGGACGGACAGCTGGACAAACGCAATGGACGCAGTCGTGCGCTACAAGTTCGTGTAGCGGATGTACACTGGAGATTTAAGCCTTCTGCCGGCCAGCGCACCTCAGCTGCTGACCTCGCTCGCCTGCGCCACCCCCTCGCCACCTTTGATCCGCCCACTGCCCACCGCCCACCACCCACTGCCAACCCCCGTCAGCCAGCGTAAGAGGATGGCCCGTCTCTTATGGCCCTCATATCCGGTTGCATTGGCAGGTAATCTTTTCGGGTCCTTCTACATCCTGCTGCTCGGCCATTTTAATGCCCCGACAACGTTTTAAAACTGTATTAGCCCTTTGCTTATGAGCATCCTGCCATGCATGATACATTGCCATTGTGCAGGAGTAAAGGAGTGAAAGAGTGTTTGACTGTGTGTGCATTTGCTAAGCTCTCGCACTTCCGGCTCGTTAAAGTCCGGAAACGGGCCAGCAAATGTTTTGTGGCACTATTGCGCACCATCTGCCACAGTGATACCGATTCCGATAATGATAATGATAAGGACAACTCACCTCTGTGCCGATTGGTCTGCTTATCAAACATCAACATGGCATCCTCGATCTGCAAATAGTCAAAAGATTTTTGATATGATTAGATTTGAAAACTTGTTTAATATAAATCTTTCTATTAATTTATTAAGAAGTGTTTAAAAAAAAACAAGTACAAAATCCAATGTCTGTGAAAAATCTTTATTTTATAAAACTTCCAGACATAAAATTGGTTAATTATTTATTTTTTATTAAAAATAGGAACTGCTTATAACTATTTTCCAATTTTAAGCTTAATACGCATGAAAATGTTCTATTTTGTAAAACAATGATGTTCATAAGTCTTAAAAATAGGAAATAAATATACTAAGACCTCCGAACATTGTATTGATGTATTAATATAAAATCCAGTAGTTGGTACTCGTAAGACTTTAAATCGCTCCTTTTACTTTTCCCTCGGCAAGAAGTGGCAATTTTTCATTTCCCAACCCATTTCCCGCGACTTTGCTGCACTTGTTCGCTTCTTTGTTTCAGTTGGTGCATAAGCATTCGAAGTTCGCCTCCTCGGTGCGAGCAACTCAATTAATGGCCTGAATAAATGTTCGCAGCAGACAAAACTGCTGCTAATTGCAAAGTGAGTGCGCACAATGGCCAACACACACACACACACACACACATTGAGAGTAGTGACCCAACCACCCTATTATATACGCCTCCAAACGCCCACCGCTTTGAAGAGGGCGCAAAACTTTTACCCATTATGGCGCAAAAGAACTTATAATGATAGTTGACTGTCAAACCAGCGCACTAACTAACTAACTAACTGCGCTGACTTTCCACTGGCTGACTGGCTCATTACAGACCCGCTAACTGGACACGGGGGAATGGGGGGACTGGGGGGAATGATGGCATGATGGACTGCCCAAATGACTGACTGACTTAATGACGGACTGTCCCACCGACTGGCTGTCATTTGATATTTTAATTGAGGCAGCCAATGAATGCACCGAATGTGCTGCTAAATTGGCCATCACAATCAGATTGAGGCTCAATTGCATTGGTCAACAGGAATTGTGCACTTGTTAAATTGAGGCATGAATGATAGATGACAGATATCAAATGAATTTGGAATTCGGACAACAACATCAGATATTTATTTTCATAATATTTCATTGCGTCTTAATTAAGGTACTCATTGATATTGTTTAATTGGAATATGCCATATATCTTTGTTGTCTTTGATTGCTGCTGCTCGAAACGAATTCCAATATTTAAATTTATGGTCAGATAAGTTTGATTATCTTAATATGTATTAGAGAGATGTTTTTTATTTCGTTGATCAAATTATGAAGTGTTATTTCTTAAAGATGTAATAAACTGCTTTGTTCTAGTTAAACATTAGCTTAAATTTTGAATTATGACTAATTAATGGCATTGTTATAAATCATTAGAATTCGATATCACATTCAGAGAACAAACTATATTGTTATTTATACAAATAAAAATTAAAACAAAAGTTGAAATCAATAAATATTTGTAGTACTCTTAATAATGTTATAAGTAATATAAAGTGGTGAGCCTTGTAGTTATTACCTTTAACTGTTGCAAATTAATTAAACTTTAAAAAATCAATTTAAAGACGAAAAATTGAAAAAAGGATTTTAATTTGGCCAGTTTGCACTAAAATTACTTTAGTGATTGTTTAGGTTTGGTTGCCAATTCCAGATTTTCATTTTTATTTATTATTAAGCAACACAGAGTTTAGTTTTGACTTCAATCGTTGGCTTAATTAAGGTGAAATTTCTAAATTGCCAATAAACTTGTGAATTTCAACGCGTCAAATTTACCGTATTTATTGCCATATAAATTTAACTAATACCTTAAAGAAAATTTAAGGTGATTTTCAAATGATCTGCTGATAATCTCTACTCATTTTGTGTGATAAAACGTATGTTTGGAAATGGCACCTGTTTCCCTTGGCTTCTTTGATTCCTTTGGCTCCAACCTAAGGGCTTCTTGTCTGGCATTCAATATTATAATGTGACAACTTTGCCATCATCCCGCTGTGCACTCGCTCAACTGCTAATTGCACATTTCTTGTCAAAGTTGCGATGCGGCCTTTAATGAGTTGCAAGCTGACCCCGAATACCCTTATCCTGACCCTGCCCCTGCCCCTTCCCCTGATCCTTCCCCATTCCCTGCTCCTCTGGCCAATCTCCTCCTGCCTGACTGCCTGCTTATGGGCCATTGATTAAACTTAATCAATGCGCTTAAGGCAACTCGCAACTCCTGTGCACTGTAATTAAAATGCAGCCACGATGCCATCGAAGGCGGCCTTATAAAAATTAATTAAGCTTGCGCCGCAGTTTTACGCCCACCACCCAACGCGGGAAAATTTTACAGCTTCAGTAGCAGCACAGAAAAAAATGGGATTTTATATTAGTCATTTAAATTTGTAAATCGATTTATCAACTTCCACATGAAAATCATTTTGACGCATTTTATTTTAAAATTAAAAGACTTCGTTAAGAGTATAAATATAAATAATTATCAATTAAGATTGATCTGACTTGAGCTGTAAGTAAAATACAAATCAATGTGCAATCTCATTGATTTTAAGTAAATAAGCTTATAAAACGGGACAAATCTATACTATTGACATCTTTAATATTTAAATAATTGCAAAGCTTTTTTGAGCTGTTTGAAAATGGCAAGAGATATATATTTTATATGCTTTACATACATACTTTCATACACTCAACAATCCCTTGAACATACAATATTAAATGTAAGGGGATTATGCTTTTTGATTTAATGTTATTTTATTTGATTATTGCATTTTTGCTGTGTAGTGTGGCTGTTGTTCGCGCCTCGCAATTCGCAGCTCTTCAAGTGCAGCCGCCGATGAAACCAACTACAACATTGTTTTTCAATTAACAATCAACAACAATGCCGCAACACAATACAAGCGAACGGCGAAGGTTACACGCGCCAAATGACACAAAAATTGCCAGCTCAGGTGCTGCAAGGATAAGGGGGCGGTGGGTGGTGGGTGTTGGTCGGTGTTCCCCAGGACTACAGATGGGGGCGTGGCAGTACAATTGCAATTGTTGTTGTTAATTAAGCGGGCAAAGCTGGAAAAGCGAACACTGCGCTCGAATTGCGGCCTGTTGTTAATGTCCGCCCATCGATGGCCAAATGGCACCTGCCCCTGCCACACCACCTTGCCCCTCCGATAGCTGTCATAATTACACTGCCCCCGGATCGGTGGCTGGCTCATTATGCCGCCCATTTTCCGATTTTCCGATTTCCCTATACTCCCCACTCTCATTTCTCATCGGGCAACCGCAAACTTTAATTCTATTAGCAAACGTTAAATGAACAGCAACAAAATGGGGGTGGTGCCCGATATGTACATAATTTTGTTTACAGCTTCCGTTGAAATAATAGCAATCTGCAAAATGGGAATTTTTCGCATTATATTAGGTTAATTAATTCTTTAAAAAAATATAGTTTTATTGTACGTATATAAAGTTCAATTATTTTTTTGGATATATTAAGAACACAAAATAAATGAATTATAAATAAATAATAGTCGTGATCTTACATATTGTCGATGACTTTCAAGAATTAATAAGCTGTTGCGCTTGAAATCACTATTTTATGCCATTAAGCCGACGACCATAATAATTGGTTAAAGATCATGGGATAATTCACTAACTTTAATAATTAAAAGAAGCCTTAAGTGCTATTATATTGAACGCAAATGTATATAAATGTGTGTGCCACTAACAAGCAGGCGCGCGTAATTTTATTTAAATCTGAATTCATTAATTCGTCATAATCCCCAATCATTGCGCCGCCTGCCAGCACGGAGGAACTTCAAAAAGCCATCAACGGCAGACGTTGATGCTGTACCGCCAGCCCCCCCCCACCACACCCTCTCCGCCCCCCTTAAATACCCCCACCCGAAGAACCACCCAAAAGCCGGGCCATTCATTTGGCTCATTTTGTGTACAAAAATGCTGCGCTCAGTGGAAACGGCGACGCTTCATTATCGTAATCGTTATATAAAACAGCGGGCAGACTACAGAACTCAGACGATGACTACAGTGTCAGACATCTGTATGTGTCCGTCTGTATGTATTTTATGCGTTCTGCGGCACATTATGTGCTTACAGTGAGTCCTAGACGAGGCGACTGCTGTTGACATTAATGAATGTGGCCGACAAAGAGTGCTGCGGGTGATTTTTATTTGAGCTCCCGCCTCTCGAAGAATTAGGCAGTGACCAGCCGAAAAATAAAGGCAGGCTAGAAAGCGGAAAGGTTAAAGTGTCTCACAGTCTCATTTTCACAGCCCAAGGAAACGGTTTTCCTTTTTGAATATCGATAGAAATGAGTGCTTTAAATCATGGAATAATCAGACTTTCACTAAATTTAGGGTACCAAATGTTATTTGATTTATAGAAAAATTCTTTGAAGGGGAACTTAACAATAATTTGATTGCACTAATAATATCAAAAATAAGTTCTATATTTAAGAGTACAATAGATTACAACTATTTCAAACTTATCAAGTCCAACATATAATATTTTGCTCTAAAATGGTCGGTCTTTCCTTAAGATTGAATATTTATTTAATTCCTAATTTAAAGTTGAAATGCACTAAGCCGTATATTCTGCTTAATTCAAGTCCTCTGGCAGTCAAATTGTGAATTTGACTAAGTATGAATAAATTAATGGTTTCAATATTAAATGAAATATAGCTTCTATTAGGCCAAATGCAATCACATATTTAGGCTTATTGTTTCCTTTATGAGACCAATAAATGCATAGTAATTTGGTTTTGCTCCGGAAGTTGAAGCTAAGAAGCGTATGACTTGCGGTATATGCGAACAATCGTGTTTGTTAGCGATTCAATGGAATGCTCTACTTTGTCAGTGGCTGCTTACAGGTTCCGGGAATGCACATTCTATATACACCAGATATATATGAATGCGGGGGCCGATGGATGAAGCTCTCTGCCCGGCCACTCGTTAAATCGTCAGCAATTCCCACCCGCTTTTGGTTCGCC